CTCGTGACAACCGGGTTTTCATGGAAGGGCCCGGTCGTCCAGGACCCCCTCGTCATTTGCAAGAGGGTAGCGCAACAGGACATGGCTTCGCAACCGGACATGGTTCACCAGCGGTCCACCTACAGGCTCTCGTATTTGGGTGGTTCTTGAAATGCAGTCAAACACAATTTGCCTTGACACACCAGAAGGGGTGTCTGTACTTGTAGGAAAGGACCCGTTTCATTTGGGAAAGAAAGAACGAGGATGAAACCAATGTCATAATCAGGACTAGGAACCTGGTATTCAGAAAGCGGTAACTATGATACTCCTTCCTAACTTGCCAAGAAACCCGCAAAGAAGGTGACCGTTGGGACGCGAAATAGGAAAGCCCAAGGGCTAAAAGGTCGCAAGCCATGTGTTCATGTAGGGGATCCTCCAAATCAGTTGGTGAACGGTTACAGTTAGCCCAGTCGCGCTTCCCCTTTTGGATCCTTAGGCACAGACCAAACAAACAAACAAAATCAAAACGAGGGTTGTAACCCAACTTTTCCAAGGGCTTCAAGCCCGTTCTCAAAGTTCACTGACTGAGTCTTGCGGCTAAAGGCAGAAGGTCCACCAACCCGCCCTATATTCTCGACGGGCGGTTTGCAAAGCAATTTGGTTTGGTGGGGCTTCGATTGAACACGCGCACCAACCTGCAACCGGGTCCATTCAGTTTCGACATTCTCTAAGCTACTACGAAAATGCTGGGTTCAAGGGCATTCCGGGTCCCAAGACATAAAACTTGAAAAAAGCCTCAAACTGGGCTCCCTCCAGGTCCCAAAACAGATGTGAGAAACAAATGAAGGGACCAAAGGAATTCACCTCACAGCCCTCTGCCTGCGGCTCAAACTTCCTTTTTTTCGGCGCCCCGGCCCTGGGCTCATCTCCGCGCGATGGTTCCAGCGGGGCTCGGTGACGTTGAAGACCTGGCCATGGCTCGCTCGCGGCGCACGGTCCGTTTCTGTGGTTCAGTTTGGGGAGACCCGCAGACTTGCTTTGGGGTTGCCTTGGGTAGACCTCTTTTGTGTTGTTGGTCGACTTTTTGCGGGTTGTCTGTTTTTGGTTTAGCCTCCGCGTTGATTGACGTGTTCAAAGAGAGATCAGAAGGAAACCAGCTTTGTTTGGGAAGTCACTATTTTCACATCGCTTTTCTGAAAGGAAACTCATCACTCGTCGGCTCCCCCCCTGAAAAGAAGAACGACTGTTGGTTCTTCAGAAGCTGAGGCTTGGAAGCTTCAGGCACTACGAGACAGCAAGCCAAGAGTTCTTAACCCCCGCTCAACGGGCAGTGCCTCGTCATCTCTCTGCATCCGCCAGAGATGCCCAGAAGGCTGCACTGGATCTTAGCCACCGGTGTCTTCACAATTCACTTGGGATGTGTTTATGCTCGTACTCATGACTTCATCTTGCAGCAACCATTCCCGCTGCCATTTTCTCATTCTCAAGGAAGACTTAAACTCTGCAATGGGCAGAAGGCAAAGATTTGGAACAGTGACCGAATCTCCCGACGGTTTGAGGAGAAACATGACTGGAAAGGCGGTCCGACAATTCTTGACTGGGATTATACCTCGCGAAGAAATGTGCACTTCATATGCCCATAGCAATTGACTTGATTGAGTATCGCTTTGATGGTTCGTTGACAGGCCATTCTGCAGCGGGAGGATACTCCTGCTTGAGAGGCGGAATGTTCAACACTTGAACATTAAAAAAAAAAAAAAAAAAAAAAAAAAAAAAAAAAAACGACAATGGGTTTAAATGTTGGGTCCACTAGTCACTTTGAGACTTCTCTTGAACTGGCAGTGAACAGTGGATTCATTTGGTCATTGTGCAAAGACCCACGCTAAACATCTTCGCTGGAACATACCCAGCAAAAATCGTCCGGTGAATCGCCCAATACTGCAGACATTGGTGCAATGTTTCCTCTGTAAATTGACTGGCACCCCCGAAACTCAAATATCAGAGGAGTCTCCTTTTGAGGGACCACTGAAAAGGGCTCTATGCTTGTTCGCGGAGTACCTAGCGGTGGTTCTACGTGCTGCTTTGGCATATTTTGTGTAAATGACCCCTTGCAAGCCTTGCTGTTGGTCATACCCTTTCCCCATACGACATTCACATGCATTGATCCACCCAGTATGATGCGGGTTGGCAACGATGTGAACGAGGGGCATGTACTTCCATTCTCCGAAGAGTAAGGATTTGATGCGTGTCCCAGGGATTCCCGTAGGTCCACCGCATTTTGGTAGAACCTTGCAAACAGTGCAGATTTGTTGCTGGCTGTGCTGGTTAAAAGGAACAATGAAGGAAACCCTTAAATGGGTTTTCAAGGGCAGACATGTTTGCGTCTGGCAATGTTGCCTACGGTTGCCAAATAGCCATAAGTCCATAGGTGGCCTTCTGGAAAACTAGATGGGTTTCCCTGGTAAATGGTGCAAAAAACCCATCTAAAATCGAACCCATCTATTTTCAACAAACTAACCGAGCAAAAGGACACCTCTGGGCTATGTTGTGGGGAAACCACCAAAAACCATCCATTTGGCGGTTCCGATTCCGATTTTGATTCACAACCCCATGGCCTATGCATAGGTCAAACCCGGCCCGAACGAAATCCACAGGTCATGAATCATGGGGGCTGGGGGAGAGGGAAGGGAGAGGGGAGGGAGCCCCAAAAGGCCCTAAATAATTAAGGGCTTCTTTGGCCATGGGTCAAACTCCCGTAAGCGCGGTGAACACCCCAATCCCCACTAAACTAGGTTCTAAAATGGGTGGTGAATTCACCTACCAACCAACATGGGATCCCAAAACGGTTTTGACAACCACCGCCATTTGGGCTCCCTCCCCCTCCACTCCCTCCCCACAGCCCCCATGAATGAAGGAAGCCAGGGCGCCGTAGTCTCCAGGGGCAGGTGTCTCGGATGAGGGTCTCGGACTTTCATGGGCCTCACCTCAGCTCGAGTAACGGCTCAGCCAACTTGAGGCTACCCAGGTGATTGACTTTAAGTCTAATAAAAGCACATGTTGGACAAGCAAATATGAATAAGTTGTGGTGATGACTTGTCGTAAAATGTGAATAAGTGTATACATGTATATAGAGATATACATATCTATATAATGTTGTATGTGCGTTCATAATCTTTAAAACATGTGTTTACTCCTAATAACTAAACAAACTATTTCGAAGTAGCGCCAACATATATTAAACCAAAACGGTACATTTCGGAACAAACAACGTGTTTCAAACATTGTTATATATGTTATATACGTGTGTATATATAAATATGTTGACTTTAACAATATAATTTAGACACTATATATATATATATTATAACATGACACACTAAGTAGCACCGAACGCCCTTGGTGTAACAATGGTCATAACCTCAGGGTTGTAGCTGGCACTGGGGGTACTCCCCTTGGTCATAAGAGTCCTAACCTACTCAAGGGTTTGACACCCAAGGAGACTTGATCCTTCGGGATCAGGCGCAAACAGCTTCGGCCGTTTTCCCCTCCCCGGGTTCTTAGCACCAGCTTGAGGGTCGTGATCGAAGATTTCTGAGTTGCCCTAGTGGTTCTCCTCTGGATCCTTGCGGGGGCCTTACTCAGTCAACACAAAGTCTGTGGCCATCACATGTTCCTGATCCGACTTTCTCTATCATTTTGTGGTGAGATGTCGAGCGCCGAAAGAAAGCGCGATACAAAAAACGATGGTGTGACTTCCTCCGCAAACCACGTTTTGACGGCATACCATACTCTCCGCACAAAGGTGTATCCTTCGCGATTGTGCGTTGTTCCGTGATTGGAAGCATTAGAGATATGTCAAGTTGTCAGAGGCTCAATTGCGAGCCAGTTCTTTAAAAACAGCAGGTTCAACAAGTGGCCAAGGATGAACAACCCAGGCTAACTGGACAAAGGCTTGCCCTCAAATTCTCGTTGTTACACACTCCCTTTCTTGATGGTGGGTCCCCACCTTTCAAACAACTTCCTCCTGGAAGATCCAATCTCATCCAAGCTCTTCCGATAGGCTCCGGGCGCAAAGCCCTCCTGGCGTTGAACATATGCGAAGATCTGAAGTTCGATGGATCTGGGCAAATCACCCTCTCCACACACGTGGAACCTTATTGAGGGGTCCTGGACCCATTTTCCTTTAACAAGTACCCCCGATCGGTGGGATTCGAATACTCAGGTCAGGGACCTGCATGAGCCTCGTTTTACGCCTCGATGAGCTTTTTCTTCTGCCGGGCGAAGTGAAATGGCCGCCCAAAGTCAACAGCAAGAACAATGCAACTTCTCTCAGCACGGCTTGACCTGGACGTGAAGGCCCTCACAGGGTCCAAAGACCTTTGCTCGGAAAAGGGAAACTAGGACCTGATACTTCAGGCTTCAAAGCGGTCATAAAACGAACCCTTCAGGTCCCAACATGTTGTTCTCTGCCTGTGCACTCGCGAGCCTTGCGGCTATGGGTCCCCAGATTGCCTCTCATTTTGAAAAGCACCCCACATCTCTGCTTCAAAGACAGACTGGATTCTGCGCTAGTGGAATTTGCGGTAGCTGTTGGGCATCATGCGACCGGGGAAACCTGACCACACTTTCAAGAACCGTTCCACAAGTTGAATACTAGATCATCCGTTGTCACGCTGCATCAGTCCCTTACAATCGAACATCTCGCAATGAGTGCCATGTGGGCTGGAAAACAAACCGTGGACATCCTTTGTAAACATATATTGGTCAGTATCGAATGTTGTTTATCTTTATCGGTTTGCAGCGTTCTGGGGCTGCAAATGGTTAAGTATGCTCTACGTTGTTGATGTGGCCACAAGCGCAGCACTTACAGGAAGAGCAGGCAGCAGGCAGCAGCATGCGGCATTTTTTCGCGTGGTGTGCAACTAGTTTGCAGACTGGGAGTAACACCCAGAAAAGCCGTCTCGGCTCTACTCGATCGTTGATTGCACGATCAAGAGCACCACACTCCATGATGACTAATCTTAGTTCTTCTTATCATTGGCCACCGCCGCGTAGTCATCTCTTGCAAGGGCGTACATGAGAAGAAAGAGCAGCCCGAACACAAGGTGCATCCCCGCAGCAGCGCTCTTGGGGGCGACGATTGGGTTGAGCCCGTCCTCAAACACACACAGCACCCCGTAGACGGACATGAAGTGGTACGCCATGGGCGCCACGCATGCGGACCTCCTCGCGCTTCGTGTCCTCTCTACGAAGTGCGCGTGTATGCACCCCAGCTGCGGAACGACGTAGACGAGCCCGAAGACGTAGGTGGCGATGATTTCGAACGGCGTCGTGCCCGTGCCTGGTTTTCCTTCCACAATGTACGCATCGGGGCGGTAGAAATCTTTCAGCTTCAGCAGGAATCCTCCCACTCCGCTCATGAGGGTCGTCGCGGTCAAGAAGTAGAAGAGAGCCGGGTAGGCCCATCGAGGAGCCATGGCAGCACCCCCGCCCTCTCCCAAAAAAACAAACAAGTGGAGCGCAGACGGTGTTCGAAACAGCTACTAAAATCCTGCTCGGCTTGAGAAAGGAACCACGTGCTTCAGTATTGAGGATGTTCAGACTCTGGTAGATTCAGAGCAAAGAAACTCGGTTTAAATGGGGGTCCGCTCAGAAATGAACCCTGATGGTATAAAATATACGCGGGATGATTGGACTGCCTATCACTAGCACTAGGGGCCCCAATCTGGCATGCGTTTGAACGATCGTTTAGTCCAAGCACACTGGCAAATTTCAGCCAAGGAATGAACATGAGATCATGAACATGGCAATAGGTGCAAACTTGGACAGGCCAAACAGGTCAGCGCCGAATCCAAGAAATCTTGTGGCTGGGTCTTTTTTGAGGTTCAGAGCAACTCTGACAAACTAGTATCTAAAACGAGCTGTGTTTCAGGCGTATGCTGGGAATTGTCCGAAGAAGCTTCCTAATCATTCTGAAAAGGGCAAGCCAAAGGAGAAACCAAAGAACCAAAAGGTTACCCTTCCCCCCATCCATTCTGCATTTCCATTCAATCTCTTCTCACAACAATCCAAAAGGCAAACCTTCCATGCTTAACTTCATTTCCCTTCCAACAGGATGTCCCTAAAACGTGCCTTCCAACCATTCCCCCACCGGAAATTTATATTTTCCCACTAAAAGACTTCCCTGCATTCAACCCAAGCATATCTCAGGCCAGCAAACAAGAAATGCGGGGGAAGCAGAGATGTGGCCATCACTATTTTTACGGCTACTTCGACCTTTCCTAGCGTCCCCCCCACCCCAGCCCGGGTCTTCCCCCCGTCCTGGTGGTCGCCGTAAGACGGCGCAGCGGCTCCGTGGGGATCGGCTCCCTGCGGCCAGAGCCAACGCTTTGGGGCGGGCCACTTTTGGTCCTTTTGCCGACCAAAAGAAGGCCGAAACCTCGGCTTGAGGTCCTCTTTTTTTGGTTGGCGCCCTTTTTCCCCATATGTGCGAAGGCAAGCTGAAACCTAGGCTTGACTTCCGAAGGAAAACCAGTTTGAAAGTGCCCAAAGGTAGACTTGACGAATTGCGGTTCTCCCTTTGGTGAAATCAGTCGGTTTAAGCATTCCTTGGGGGTAATCCAAAAATGGAACCCTGCTCGGGTCTACCCAAACCATTGTAAAGAACATGGCGGGCCCATATCAGCGCCTATCGATGGTTGAGAGAGTCCCTTACTATCCTTCATCTACCCACGCTTTGATTGTGGCTTAAACAGCTTCCACTACCCACAGAACAAGGGTAATCCACACCTGGGTCAACTCAAGAGGAAGACACGTTTGATAGGTCGCAAGTGGCGCCTCTGCAGGTGCCTTGAGGTACGCCATGAAACAAAAACAAGCACTGCGCAAATGACAAACCTTGCCAAATGCAATCAATCAGCTTGGGCTGCAACCGAAATTCGAAGCATCCATGTTGCTATTCGGATTCTGCCTCTACGAGCTGCATTGCTCCGTGCATCTGCATCCAGAAGGCACCGCTTGTGAGGCTGGTTTGTCGATCAATCGTTGCCGGTGCCCACTGTGAATTGACTCAACACCCAATTCCCATTGATTTGGGGCTCTACCAACATGATCCTAAAGTGCGTTTATGTTTATCAGGGCTTACGTAAATATTAAGCCATGTAGTAGAATCATAGGGGGGTTGGGCATTTCTCAGTTGATCTCAACTGAATCAACGCAGTCCAAAGAATCTCTGGGCCTTTCATGGCGGCTTGCCATGATATTCAAGATCCGCAAACATCCAGCAGCACAGCATTTGAGGTCCGTGCAAACTCTCTGCTTCCAGGGAGATAGCCAACCTCTTTCCCTAGAAAGCAAGGAACAGAACAACAATTGATGGAGTCCTTTGGGCTTCCCTGGAAGCAAAAGAGGCTAGGCTCATACAGGAAACCACGACCCCGCGGCGCCGGCATTGCCTCCGCAAGTCCGGAGAAGGCGTGGGAGACAAGAAACCTGGGCTGATTCGCACTCATGACCATACTCTTCCATTTGCTTCAGGCCCCTGGAAAAATACAACTATGTCCAGTAGTGATAGACTCCATTTAAAACCAACAGCGGGAATAAAACATATTCTTAGGCAAATGCCGCCATAGGATTGTAACTCCCTACCTGCTGCCGGTTTCCTCCAAAGGCCTTATGCCTTCGCCATTCGAGTCTTCTTTGAGGAAACCGGGGGGGTGGGGGACGGAAAACATCCTGCACCAGTTGGAATGAATGAAGCCGTAGACATACTGGGATAGACTACCTGCCAACCGGTGCCTTTGCTCCCTTGTTGCAGCCCTAAGCACATCCTCACAAGGATGGGGTTTGTCTCAACAGGGGAGCGCAGAAAATCCGTAGTTTTCCACATAGCTTCCCTTTGAAAAGTACCAGCCAACATACACACACAGACGTATGACTTCATACGTGTGCCTTAAAACTAGGGACCCCTCCAAGTGGCTGGTTTCCTTTTGGTTCGGATTAAAGCCATATCCAAAAGGGGCTATGTCATTGTCATAGGTGGCCTGTTGCAGAAATAGATGGGCTTCCCCGGTAAATGGAATGAAACTCTTGTAAACCCGTGCCATCTTTTTTAAAATCAAACTAACCTAAAGAGGACACCTATGGGCTATGTTGATGCGAAACCAGAAGGAAACCATCCATTTGGCCCGATTCCGATTTGGATTCACACCCCCTGAGGCCCACCAGGGCTCTGACTGGTTCGATCTTGGCGGCAGCCTACGCACTCCGCTTGAGGAGTTGGGTAATGTGGGGGTTGATCACAAGGGTTTATGGGATGACCATTCGGAAAACCACTGAGATGATATCTTTTCCATTAACAGGGAAAAGTTACCCATGGTCATTTGGGGTCAGGAATATGAATCAACCCTCATGCCATATATACATGTCGGGTGTGCCTTCTTGTGTTGAGGGTACCCCCTTTTTTGGTCGTTTTAAAACACGAAAACAATTGTTTGGGGTGCCTTAAAGCAGACACACGCATACGTGTGTGCTTGGGGACCCCAAAGTGGACTTCGGTTTTGTCTTGGTTTCTCTTGTTTGACCACACGAAAAAGGGTACCCTCAACAAACATGACAATATGTTGTTGGCTGTTTGATGGTTTCGATAGCCACTTTTGGAGGTCCATGAGGGGAAACTGAGGAAAACTTGTGCGTGTGTGTGTGTGTGTGTGTGTGTGTGTGTGTGTGTGTGTGTGTGTGTGTGTGTGTGTGTGTGTGTGTGTGTGTGTGTGTGTGTGTGTGTGTGTGTGTGTGTGTGTGTGTGTGTGTGTGTGTGTGTGTGTGTGTGTGTGTGTGTGTGTGTGTGTGCGTGTGCGTGCGCGTGTGCGTGCGTGCGTGCGTGCGTGCGTGCGTGCGTGCGTGCGTGCGTGCGTGCGTGGGTGGTGGTGGGTGGTGGGTGGGTGGGTGGGTGGGTGTGTGTGGGTGTGTGGGTGTGTGGGTGTGTGGGTGTGTGGGTGTGTGGGTGTGTGGGTGTGTGGGTGTGTGGGTGTGTGTGTGTGTGTGTGTGTGTGTGTGTGTGTGTGTGTGTGTGTGTGTGTGTGTGTGTGTGTGTGTGTGTGTGTGTGTGTGTGTGTGTGTGTGTGTGTGTGTGTGTGTGTGTGTGTGTGTGTGTGTGTGTGTGTGTGTGTGTGTGTGTGTGTGTGTGTGTGTGTGTGTGTGTGTGTGTGTGTGTGTGTGTGTGTGTGTGTGTGTGTGTGTGTGTGTGTGTGTGTGTGCGTGTCTTTGCTTTGCGAGAGTACCCTTTTTTCCTTGCTTTCTAAGAGAAACCCACAGGGAAACCCGCTTTTTTTGGGGTCCTGTAGTTTGACACCTGCCCAATTCCGTGAGGTCCCTTCAGCCAAGAAAAGTCAGCGGTTTCCAAAGCGACCCAAAGCACAGGGGGCCCTGGTGTCCTTTGATGTTGCCAATATCAAAGTCACCTCGTGCGATAGGTTAAAGGGAAACAACCATTTCGTGTTTTGTCTGACGTTGACTACGCCCAGAACCCGTTCAAAGAATGATGGAGGTGATACTCGTTTTGCGCTCGTTTTAAAAGGGACACCCCCCTCAGTTGGCTTTAAAAACCGGGGTTTGTCATCTTTCGTTGAAGGTAGCCTTTTCGTCAATTTTAAGGCACATTCAAACGGACTATATGGGTATGGGTCAAAATTAAACCACCAGGGACCACAGGTGTTAGTCATTGTTTCCATTTACCAGGGCAAGCCATTTTGGGGTTACTCTATTTTTGACCCACAGCCATAGACTCATTTTGGGGCTCCCCTAAGTTCGAAGCAGTCCCAAGTTGACTGAACAACCCTCACGACGGCGCGCCGAAACCAAGCGGAGGAGTCGCCGAGGAAGCACTCGAAGGGGCCTGGCTTGGAGGGGGGGCCGGGGGCTCACGTAAAAAAGGGCCCCCATCAGCATCCTAACAAGCATTGGTTTTGGACATTTGGGCTTTAGACATGGGAAGTGCACCCTTGGTAGGCCCACTTTCCCTCCAAGGCTTTTTTCCCAAGTCTTCGGTGAAGCGCAGCTCCACAGATAGACATTCTTGGCCGTCCACTGAGACTGATGGTGTGTCTCACTCGGGTTTGAGCCCCACACAAGTTTACTTGTTCCTCCAAGAGAACACGGGAAAACTGGGCGAGGCCCCGCATTTTGTGGCAGATTTGGGTGGGCCCCCAGTTCCTTCCCAAAGTAGTAACAGACTACCAGTACTCCTTTGTACTTTTGTCCGTTGCTCACTGAGGAAAAACACTGCGAATTAATGACAAGTGTCAATAATTTGGCAGGATTGAACCTGAAATGTCCTTTCTCGGGCAAAAACTAATAAGAGTAATAAGCTGATGACAAACTGCCAAGGGACCACAAGAAAGATCGTCCGTGTCAGCTGCTTCCGCGGCTCCTTTTCGTTGGGTTGGTACGCCTTTGTGCCTATTTGAAGGGACACCAGAAGGAACTGAAGCCAACTTGGGTCTTCCTCAAAAACCGTTGTTCTCCTGGCTTCCTTGGAAACAAGGCTTCCAATACCATCCTCAACAGCACCCACACAAAATGGGAAACCAGAGCTCTCCGACGCGAAAAACACCTGGCGCCAAATCGGCCCGCGGGCCCAATGACCAGCCCACAGGCCCCAAGTCCTGCGTGGGAGGCTCCCAAGCGGCGTGCGCCGAGTCCTTGTAGTCCCCAGGGCCTCCATCGACCCAAAAGGTCCCCTGGACCCGGATGGAGGTCCATGGCCCCTGTGGCTGGCTGGTTGATTTTAGACCAAACCCCGGTTGAAGAAAGGAAAAGCAAGCAGCAAGCCCAGGTGTTGAGGACGGCTTGGAGTTGAAAGAGTCAGGTAGATGCAGTTGGACCCCTGCCTTTCAACCTTGTGCTCCTTCATGTTCTGGTCCGGGCCAACCTAAAGTTGGTTTCGCTCATATCCCGTTGGCCAGGTGTAGGCGGTTCCCCCGTTTGGACAGGCTTGCATTGTGCTCGATTGCTTATTGGTTGTCGTGAGACTGTTGTGAAATTCAAATCGCGCCTAGGAGACGCTGCCATGCCAGGGCAGTTTGTGGGGAGCGAAGCAAATTCAAAAAAAGAAAACGGTTCGGTGCCTCCCCCAAAATAGGGTACTAATTACTTCAATTGGTCGGGATGGTTCTTTGTACTCACCATCCATAGGGGCCCCCCGATTCTGTGAACAGCCATGTGGCTCTAGTTTTCTTTACCAGGACAACCCCTTTGTGTCGTGCAAAGCCCCTCTTGGGAATACTGAGCTTTCCACCAATTTTCCTGGAAGGACCTACAAAGCCAAGGGGTGTGGGTTCCCAGGTAACAGCCAGGTCAACCACCCAAACCCCCGACACTCGTGCCTGGTGTAGACGCATCCATTCGCTTGAACCTTTGGCAGCGTACTCCGAAAGCAGGCGACCTCGGCCAAATCTTCTCGACCGTACGTGAGGGAAGTGGCTATGACAAATCTTAGTTCGCTTAGAGGACTCACAATGGCAGCTAGTAATGATAACTTTTAGCCCTGGCTATGATAACTTTTAGCCCGCGGGGACTCACAATGGCAAATAGCCCTTTCAGCCCAAAAGGTGCGAGAAGAAGCTTGTCTTAAGACCTGTTTGCTTGAAAAGAATAGGGGCACCACCGGATTCCTTTGTCCCTTGGTTCCTCTATAAAGGGTGCGCAAGTTTTGTTTCGGAAGCCTGAAAAGAGTCACCAGCCACGGTCAAGATTACTTGCTTCCCAAGGACATGGGACAACTGGTGACTGGTGATTCCCCTGCTTTCTGTGGGAACACTTTTCTGTCCCCCCCCAATGTCACCACAGACGTACTGATAATTTTAACCGAACCCCATAGCGCTTCAAGACCCGGCACTCAGTGCTTCCACGCAAGCCACTATGGAAGGAAGGTAACCAGGAAAAAGCATGAGGGAATGGCCCATACGAAAATCCCCTATGGTTCCTTAAAGGGAATCCCTAGGATCATTACCAATTCCCTATATACTGAGCACCAAAGTTAAACAGGCCAAACGCCAGGTAACTTGAAGCGCTGGGCTAGGTTGATCAGCCGCTCATTTTCTCCCAGGCCCCCGCTGCGCACGCACGGGTCGTTCCGTGCTGGGTATCTCCACCTCGTAGCAGCCGGGGCCTGAGCTCATGCACACGGCTTGGTTGACGTTCGAAGGGGAGCAACAAATCAAATTTGAGCAGTTAAGTGGGGATTTCCCGCTAAACCACAACAAGCAAACATGTAAAATGTTTCCCAACAACAACCATGACGGTGGGTCTGGCAGTTGTTTGTAGGCGTACGTCTTGAAAGGTCTTTGTACTTCCATGTGCGTTGTCGCTGTCTGGAAAAGAATGATAAATTGTGTCCAGTAGTGAGATCGATTTCCTTTAAAATGTCCAACAAGGGAAACATATTCATTTCAGAAAATGGAAGTGTAGGTGCTAACCTATGCCCAAGTTGCTGCGTTTCTGTTTTGTCGTGTCACCCGAAATCTTTCGGAAAGGCCCCAGGCATGAGCCAGGTCTGAGGCCATGACCCGTGCTGTCCGGACCTCAGGTCGGGGCGCTGAAAAATCCTACCACTGCGTGCTGGGCTTTTGTTCTATTATTATTAGTATTACTATTATTACTACTATTACTAGTATTTTGATTTTATCTTATGTTTGTTTTAGGGCAAACTGATTCATGGAGGGCGGGGTGGTACTTATGCTTGCTTGAAGAAAAAGTTGGAAGTCGGGGAGCTACTTGGGGGTTCTGGAGCAAACAGTTGTTGGGGAGTGCTGAAAAGTGGAAGGCTGTGGCTTCTTTCAAATTTGACGTCTTGCACGCGCATGACACTCAAAGTACCCATGTCTGCCGGATTCACAGCCTGACTCTGTGAGACTCAAGAGAACGGTATTGAGCCATGTGGCTCTCACTTGCGCCATCCAAACCTTTTCAATGGCTGCTTCCCGTGTCCAAACCCCAAGAATCCACAAAAAGCACCGGATTTGTGGTTTTCTCTGTAGAATCCTCAAGCACAGGGTTCGCCATGTCCCCATTAAACCTCCCCCACCAAAAGGGACCTCACTTCATGCTTTAAGTTGACCCAAGGGTGGTTGTAATACCACCAGTAGGGGGAAAATCTAGGTTTGGCGTTTTCAAGGGGACCCTCCGAAACTGGGGTGATGTGTTCCTGTTGGGCTTCCCTTCCGATCCTAAGGGAAACTTCTATAAGATGATGGTTCATTTCCTACATCAGGATCTAAAGGAATGGAATGACATTGGATTAGGAATCTCCACACCCTCCCCAAACCGCGGGACGAATTCATGAGCCAGGCTGTCGGCTCCTCTCTCAGCCCCGTGCTCCGGGAGAAGATGGTCTCCCGGTCTGAGCTGCTGCCAAAGGGCGCCTCAGGAGTCGCCCGGCGAAATGGGGGGGGTGGCCTTTTGTGCGAGTGGGTACCCTTTTTTGCTGGTGTTAAAGGAACACCCAGCCGTTTTGGGGGGTGACCCATGCCCCCTGGTTTGCTGGTTAAGGAAAATGCGAAGGAACACCCACCCATTTTGGGGTGGTCAAAACAAAAATCACAAATTAGACACACCCATATGGCTGTGGGTCAAAAATAGGCACCACGATGGAATGGGTTGCGGTCCATATCCTGGTGGTTTAATTTTCGACCCATACCGCCTTTCTTTGGACACCCAACATGGCCGACGATTTTGCTTTGGGTTTTCTCTACCACAAAAAACAAGTACCCTCAAACAAACGACACCCCCATATGGGCGTGGCTCCTTCAGGTTGAGTTGGTACCAAGGTTTCCCATCAAGCCAAATCCATGGGAATCACTGAGCGAGGCCCTTCTGCCGGAAAGAACACAATCCGCCGACCCCATGCCTGGTCCAGAATGGACCATGCTTTCGGCATGGGGGCGGTGTGTTCTGTGTTGCTTTTGTTGATATGCTTTCTATAAGTTTAATGTGAATATGATTATGTATATATATATATATAACCTATATGTCCCTTGGGGCGGCCCTTGGGGCTGGTTTCTACGTCGGCTGGATTTCTGGATTTCTGGATTTCTGGATCTCTGGATTTCTGGATTTCAGGAATTCTGGATTTCCCCACCCCTCCCCCCCCCTCCCCCACCTCCCCCCCCCCAGTCCCTCCCCCCCCTCTTCCGTAGTCCCCGGCTTCTTCCCGTAGTCTTCCGTAGTCTTCCGGCTTCTTCCAGGTAATCTTCCGTAGTCTTCCGGCTTCTTCCCGTAGTCTTCCGTGGTCTTCCGCCTTCTTCCCGTAATCTTCCGTAATCTTTCGGCTTCTTCCAGTAGTCTTCCGTAGTCTTCCGTAGTCTTCCGGCTTCTTCCCGTAGTCTTCCGTAGTCTTCCGTAGTCTTCCAGCTTCTTCCCGTAGTCTTCCGAAATCTTTCAAGCTTCTTCCCGTAAATTTCCGCAATCTTTCCGGCTTCTTCTCCTAGTCTTCCGATACTGTTTCGGGACCAAACAACGCGCGTGTCCTGTGCTTTCGGGCTTCTTCCCTAGGCTTCGGGTAGTCTTCCCCCACCCCTCCGCCCCCCCCCTGTGTCTGTCTATGTCTGTCTACGTATCTGCATCTGTCTTCGTGTCCGCGAAGACCCCCCCTGCCCCTGCGTGTCTGTCTGTGTCTCTTTGTGTCTGTCTGGGTCTGTCTGCGTCTGTCTCCTTGCGTGTCTGTCTCTGTCTCTTTGTGTCTGTCTGTGTCTGTCTGTGTCTGTCTACGTATCTGCGTCTTTCTTCGTGTCCCCCCCCCCCGCGTGTCTTTGTGTCTGTCTGGCTCTGTCTGCGTCTGCCTGCGCATCTGCGTCTGTCTTCGTGTCCGCGAAGACCCTCCCCCCCCGCTGCGTGTCTGTCTGCGTGTCTTTGTGTCTGTCTGCGTCTGTCTACATATCGCGTGCTTTCTCTCGTCCCGGGCCGAAATTCTAAGGTGTGTGGGGGCGGCGGAACCAGGCCGCAGGCCATTAAATACGGAATCAGACCCAAAAAAAAAACATGTCCTGTGCTGGTTCTGGGAAAGGGACCATTCATAGCTCAGGCCATCGATTTCTGAGGTCCATCTTGGGTCCATTCCCTGCCTCACAAAATCGGCCCCCGAAACCCAGGAGCAGCCTTAAAAACATGAGGACCTCTGCTTGCCATGGAACCCGCAAAAAAAAAGACATGAACGCACATGAGTTAGAGGAAGGTATCTTTGGCGGTTTCACTTGTTGGGCGCTTCCGGGAAATATGCACGATATGCACGTGCTCTTGGCCCGCCACTCGAGGCACGGAGGCCATCCGCGGCCTGAGACCAGTGGTGCCCTGCTACCGGAGTGGGGGGTTCGTGTCATTATTATTATTATTGTTATTATTGTTATTATTGTTATTATTATTATTACATATTTTTCCGACCACTGTGATACAAGTTGGAACCCCGGCATCTCCCTTTGAAACAAATAGTCTTTGGGAGGCCCTTTCTGTTGTATCACAGAAGTACAGAAGTGGGCATTCCCCACAGCCCTGCTGCCTGCTTGGTACCGTCACTAGGAGGGGTGTACCTTCACATACCTCAGAGCAGCACACCTCAACCCATCGACAACACATCAAACAACAGTCACCAGAAACCCACCCAAAAGAAAGGACACCAGCAAAAAACCGGTGGCCAATCGCCCCCTCCGGTCGGTCCACAAATCTCTCGGTTCTCCAAGTCCCAAGCTCATCGATGCCCATGAAGTCAGGTCCAGGACCTGACGCGCGAGAGAGACGTCTGGGTGTGCCGCTGCTTTTCGGAGATGGACCCGCCAAATGTCCAAAGCGGGTGTTCCTTTTGGTTTCCCTGTGGAACCACAAAATGAGGCAAAAGTAAGAGACCCATCCCCATCTCTTTTTGGTTTCCCTGTGGAACCACAAAAATGGCTAACAAAACAAACCCATCTGGATTCCTCAAATGGCAAGCCCCAAAATAGCCCGAACGTACCCAACAAAGCATTTGACAAGCGTTGGAAGGCCAGCATGAAAAGCCCACTTTTTGCAGGTTCTCTGGGACATGACCTTTCCGCACCAAAACGCAGGGAAACTCCCTGAAGAAGCTACAGAAAATGCAAGGAATGGTAAAGGCCGGGGTCCCCGCCTACGCTTGCCGGCTTTCCGATAAACCTCTTCTGAAGAGCTCACCAAACCACACATAACTCTCGTCCGGAGCGGACTTGTCAGAAAAAACTCAGACTTGTTGTTGACCACTCAAGCCAGCCTCCCAAGGAAAATTGCAGTCCAAAACTGGGGAAGTGACATACGGGAAACCCTAAGGAATCTTCATCGTGGGTGAGATCGGTCGAACAACAAAACCTGGTAGGCCACCATCGCTGCCTCCCAGCCGAATCGCCTCTCGCATAGGTCGACACTACCAAGCAGCTACTCTTGCTTTGAGTCAGCATCATCACTCAAGATAAAACCCGGTCACTCAAGATAAAACCCGGAAACGCGGCGGCAACGTGATTCAGCACCATCCAACCACTGCCTTTTCCCATGTCCCAAAGCAACAAGTACTGCCAAGAACGCAGTCATTCAAGGGTGCTGCGTGGATTGCTCACGTGCACCTTCCTCGTTTCTGTTGACAGCGACCCCTGAGCATGCTCTCAGCTGAATTCCCCCCAGTGCTGGGCGCTTCCCCAATGCCTGGCGTCTGCGAGGTTACCCGGCGCGTGCCTGGCGTTCCCGAGGCAACATCAACACTGCACTCAGTGACTCTAGCTAAATTTCTGGCAGGCGTGTCAGCGACCAATTGTAGATTCCAAACCTTTGATGGCTGTGTGTCAAAGCTAGCAACCATGTTGGGGGGCCTGGTTCAAAAGGAAAACAACCTGCAACCTGGTATGTGAACAGGTCCAACTAGTTTCGGCACATACCCACGTATTTTTCGGGCAGGAACGTCCTTCTCATCATGCTAGCACCATCATGGGAGGGGCTCCAGAATTCGGAGACCTTCCCAAATTATGGGTGGATCGAAGAAACAAAAATACGGCAAGAAACAAAATTACAGCAACCTCACCATATGCCTAAACGTTCCTTTTCTGGAATCAGCACCTCCAACGACTGCGTTTTGGACCGCAGAGATTTGGATATGGGAAAAATCAGCCTTTAGTGGGGGAGGTGGGGGGTCTGGTAAGCGGTTCATCCGGAATTCACTCTCCTCCGGGTCACATGTGGGAAAGTTCCTCTAAGACAAATTGTCCTCTTCAACTGGACCTTCTGGAGAAGTGCTCTTTCAAACAATAATGGTTTTGCATGGGGGCTTCCCAAAATGAAAGTATTCGGCTTCCGTGGTTGCTGGGAAAAGGACAACATGTTGGGTTGCCGGGGGGGGTGTTGCCCGGACCGAATGGGAATGGTGCCAATCCTATGCGAATAGCAGTGAATCGTGGCTTCGGTTGGATCACAGCAAAGTCTGCGAATGTCCAACTTCGCGTATTCCAATCTCAGATTCGAACACGCGGTGCTGGCAGGCGCAGCATTCTTATTTTCTTGCTCGAGCATGCAGGTCTTTCTCTCGGAAGCTCCGCCAGCAAGTTCTCAGCGCATCTCATGGCTTGTTCGCTTCGCATATACAAGGCAGCCCGGCCTGGGCGTTCTGAAGGTCTCTCGCTAAGAGAGTCAAGCCACAGTCCTGCAGCCTGCCTTCAAACGCAAGACCCCAAGCCCTCTTAGACACCAGGTGTCTAAAACCACCTGCGGCAAAGTGGCAGCGTGTCAATTAAGCAAATGGGACAGCGCAGTCGCGCAGAGCGCGCAGATAGCGGAGAAGTCAGTGGGGCTGGGGGGTTCGGGATCGACTAGTTTGAAACACAGGTTGGCCTCGACATGCTGGAAACATGGACCCGTGTTCTTTCCATCCGCCCCTGTTCCCCCCCCTCGACAGCCGCGAACATGCTGAGGAATGGGCATGCGCGGGGCAGCATGAAAGTCCGGGCAAACCCCCGCGTCAACCCAACATGTTGGTTGAAAGTCCGACTTGCAGAAAAAACCGGCGGGGGGGAGTCACCATTTGCCTGCCCAAAAGGCCTGGACATCCAAGCGAAACCATTTAAGACCTTGACTCACCCAATGGACCAAACAACCAAAAGGGTTCAGCAGGGTCCTCCTGTAGAGCGGTTCGGTTAAGAGTGCCCTTTTTTCTCAAGTCTATTTTAAACAGGGGAACCCTCCCCCAAAAAAGAAACGGTAAAAGGGCCCTACTGGGGGACCTAGTCAGGTCCATTCGCAGCGGATGACAATTCACCCGTCTCCGGTCCTGAGGCGAAGGAGGAGCTCGGGTGCACCACCTTCCCGAGCTGCTTCTGCCTGCGACTGGAAACCCTCGCACCCCACGCCGAAAAAGGAGCCGTGCCGAAAAAACGGCTGCCTGCAGGCTACAGCGTCGCCCGTTTTTAAATGTCCGGGCACTCAAATAGGCCAAGAAATGGTTTTACCTCCGCAAGGGATGCCTTTCTTGCCCGGCCAACCGGTTGACATCTCCGATTTGAGCAGCTACTTCGAGCGACTGGAAAAGTGGCCTTCGCTTGGGCTGGAGGCTTCGGAGGCCTTGGATGTGCTGTTTTGGGGACGGCTGTGATCCTTCTTCTGGCGCAAAAGACTCCATGTCTGTGCCTTGTCCTTGCGAAACGAATATTTGAGTAATACAACTCTTTCATACCTCCAGGGCCCGTGAGGGCGGCCAGCCACTGAAAAGATATGGATTTAAAATATGTGTGTTCACTACCCAGCCCCGGCCTCACCCCCATCTTTTCTTAGATGTCGTCACAGTAAGCTAAGCCTTGGAAGCTTCTTTCAGGGGTTCCAAGAAAAGGGATCAGGGCATAGGTGTCCTTTTGGAAAAATAGATGGCGCTGGTAAATGGAATCAAACCCATCTAAACCAGTGCCTTCTATGTTTAACCAAACTAGCCTAAAAAGGACACCTATGGGTCAGGGACTGCTGTTCTTGATGAGTTGTTACCTGCTTGAAAGACAAGCCCAACCATTTCAAATGCATCTCGCCGAGAAACTGGAGCCAAGTTCCGGGGAGAATGCCCTTCCCCCCAGTCACACTTTGTTTGTCACGCTGGGGTTTTGGGGTGGGTAAGCTCGAGATGCGTGTCCTCAATCAATTTGTCACCCGGTCGCGGGTTCTGGACAACCTTCGATTGAGTAGGCAAGCCTGGTGTAAACATGGTTGAACGACCATTGTTTAAGCAACTTCCTGGGAATACATGGGACTCAGGGCTGCCAAAATCTGCACCGTGAACTTCAACTCTCTGTCAGCTGAGGAGTAAGCCCCCAGTTCCCTCTGAGCACGCGCCTCCGTACAGGAGCCTGCGTGGAGTCAGTTCCAATCCAAATGCAGACCTGCGGACAGCGAATCGCCGATGACGCTCCCTTCATAATCTGGATCAAAAACAGGTATCCAAAATAGAACTCTGGTAAATGGAAACAAGGACTAAAATTAGTGACTAAAACCTGCGGTCCATATCCTGGTGGAGTTCAATTTTGACCCGTGGCCCATACCCATACCCAAAACACACAATGGTCAAAGGGACGGTCCAGATCCGCTGCTCCCAAGACATCGGTCCCAGGAAACGACGCAGCACCTGCCAAGTGTCGTCTACCCACAGGGGGCTTTCGAGGCTCGGAAACAGTGGTTCAGTTTTCTGCTCAAAAATGGCAGGCTAAGCCCGATATGCAGAAGTCTTCCAAAAAGGGCTCTGTGCAACAACCATGTTTGTTGGAAAGGCTTGAGATAGCTGCACTCCTTGTATCCACCATGTGCCTCCACGTCTTCAGGCACAGCATGCCCCGTAGCCAGTAAGCCTGGGTGCGAAACACGTCCAGGCAGCTCCTGGTTTTCTCCGTCTCGAAATGGACACACGGATCCCACCCTGCAATCAGTAATCTTTTTTGGCTGGTTAAAAATTGGAAACGAAAAACACCAAACAGGAAAAGTGCAAAATGCAAGAAGATGCTTCCCTCGTGTTGAAAGGGAAGCCAAATGCAAAACACGCGCCTGGTTTGTGGTACACAGAACTTTCAGACACACCAAAGCGACACTTGTTGCAACCCCTCGCAAAAGGCCTGGATTCAATTCACAAGAAGCTGACAGGCAAGCGAGAAGTGCAAATCCCCCACTCTACGATGCTTGCGAAGCCCGCAAAAAACACCTTGGGGATGGATGATCCCATCCCGATTAGTCAGTTTGGGTGTGGACCCATAGACCTTTTCCAACAAATAATGGAACTGGACGACTACAAATAGAAGGCCCGTGAGCCTGTTTGGTTTCCTGTTGGTTTCCCACAACCAACAAAAAGGGTCCCTCTGTGTGTGTGTGTGTGTGTGTGTGTGTCAACATGGTACCCATTCAATCATATGATGTTAACCGTTACCTTCCGGCCCATGCCCTTCTTTGTCAAGGTGATGCAAAATTGGCTGCAAAGATTTGTCGACCAGCGAATGCAAAACGGTTGCTAGGATACTACGCACATGCTTGTCGATGGGAACCTGTCTATGCCTGTCTACTTGCACCCGTTCAACGCCAAACTGCAGGTTTTCAGTCCTTGTTTCCATTTACCAGGGGTCCATTTTGGGTACCTAATTTCCACCCGCTCCCGAATTGCCCGGGACCGCAGCTCTTCATGCGCCGTGCCGGCGCGCGCCTCGCAGCGCCTGGAATGAAGCGCAAAAGGCGACGAAAGGGGACGCCAAACATTTAAAGCAACGGGCAAACAATGAAAACCACAAGACATCAGGTAGATTCCCTAACACAAGACCAGACAGGGTTGTCTAACATTGTCAGATGTGATTGAATGTTGTTTTGGTTTTCGGGTCACAGAATTAATTTGGGATGTGCTGGTTTTCCATCTGATTTTTAGCCGGCGGGGGATGGGAACCGTACAGAATTGGTTGCCCAAAAGGAACAGAACTGATAAGGGATGTGTGTGTGTGTTCCTTTTTTGGCAGGGGTGTGAGGAAGTGGCAATCCTTGGAGACACTTGAAGCACAAGGAAGGGAGCAACTATCAACAGCAAAGGGTATGTAATTACTGTACCCATCCAAGCGACCTCAACCTTGTGAGATAAAGCGCCTCGAGCTCCAAAGTTGTGACCTTCCAAAATCTCCAAAGCGCCCGCTCCAATCTCGCTTTAGGACCTCTGAACCCGGCCCCTTCAAGATCAGAGCCGTGTGTTTCAAGTTTGGTGGGTGTCTGCCCCTTGCCAGGGGCCCACGAAATCAAACCTGAAGGAATCTGCGGCCACGAAAATGTCCGGCCGAAAACTATGGCCGAAAAAATTCGGGTCACTGATTTGTTTAGGTCACAAATGACGAACCGGAGGGCACCAAAGGAAGCCGCCCAAATCGATGTTGGGACGCCGGGCCAGCTCGCTGACGGGCAGCCTGGGAGAGCTCAAGTGCTGAAGGCCTATTGGCTTGAACCCGTGGTGCTTTCCCCAATGCGCACTTGAGTGGATTGGCCAAAACCAGCAACCCAAACTGTTTAGAATACCCAAAAAAGTGACTAAAGTGACTACAGTAACCCACACGAGTAACCCAAGCTGTTAGAACACAAACGAAAATGGTCCAAACCCAAAAAGTCACTAAAGCCCCAAACGGCAAGGGTGCCGAAACCTCTACAAAAGCCAGGGCTTCAAATTTGCCCTCTACAAAAGCCAGGGGTTCAAATCCAAACCAATCAAAACCACCAGGCGGAAGCCGAAAATCAGTTGCCTGATCCCAAAACCAACAGATATCCCCAGCACAACCATTCATGCATACATGTTTTAAGCTAAAATAACAGTCCAATTGCGTGCGCCACGCGTTTCCTCTGTGTCATCTATCGACGTACAGCACAGTTTATGCCAATGTTGCCGTGACCTGGTCCCTGATGATGTGCGTATAGGAACAAGGGCAGCATTGCCCATTTGTTTCAAGCTCCACAAAACATGTCCTTCAAACCAAGCATGGACATGTAACAATCGCAACAAACACAAACACATGTCATGACAAAACTTGATCCAAGCCTACCCATTTCAGCGCACGACGCTTGGACAAACCACAACTTCCGCAAGGCCCGCTTCATTATCACGCTTCGCAACGCTCGGCAGAACAAATGCCGACGAATCATGTCGATCCCGGATTCATCATCCTGGACCGTAAGGGAAGTATTGTCCCACTTGTGCAGTACCCGCGAAATGGGACGCACCCTACAAATCAACCACTGGGGATGCTAATCCTGAGTTCCCAGTGAGTGCCCAACGACACATGCACAATTGAACCTAAAGATTCACTTGGCTCCAGAACCACACTGCCTGCTGGGTCGCTATGAACAGGCCAGGAGTCTCCTGGGCGGAAACTGTCAAGTTGATTGCCGAGTGCTGACGGCTTCTGCGTCATGAACAAAAGCTTTCGTGAAAACTACCCAACAATTGCTCCCATGTGATATCTTACTTCTCGACTGTCGCCCTTCGGTTGAAGAGATTTGCTTCTCTTGAGTTTGAACGGATCGTGCCTTGACACTAGCCAGGGGGTCTGTCAAAGAAACACCGCCCCAACCCCTTTGGCGTTTGGTGCTAGCAGCAAAGCTGTAAAGATGTGTGCGAACCCCCTCACAACAATTCCTGCAATCTACAGGGATTTGTACATACCCCTTTCTTCGTGCTCTTGTCCCCGAAAGGGGTGCACACCCATCGTGCGGCGGGTAGGCAACCCTGTAACCAAAAGGTATGTACAACCTTCCACTTTCAGATGAAGAGGGAGCAAACAGAATTCCTTGAGTTTCCCCTGTAAGTGTTGCCTCAAAAAAAGGAAGTGAGAGGGTTCATTATAGGCAGGTTGGGCTTGCTGCACCCCCTTTTAAACAAAGAAACAACGAGTAGTTTAAAGAAGAGCTGGCCCAGTTCTTTTGCCATTGTGAAAGCCACCTCGTAACTGATACCTGATCGGGAAAAAAAATCTGACGTTGCGTCGCCCCGGAAACACTCAACATAGTGAAAGGAACACCCACAAAGCACACCCCAAAAAGAGGTAGAACCCCAGCAGAACCTAAAGGCGCTTGAAAGGGAAGTTTGGTGCCCTTTAACAGTTTGAAAAGCCGAACCCGAAGGAAACCCTGGTATACAGGGCTCAGCCAACTCTTCAAGCACCCATCATTTAACAACCTTTTGGTCCCCCTTTAGCTGGGGCTAGGGTCTGTTTGATTGACTCGCCTCCCAAGACTGGCCAAAAGGTCTTCCAAACACAAAGTCCAAGTGAGCGCAACATATTTTGCCCACCCCTTCCGGTCAAAACCTGAGTCATAATCAAAACCCGGCATTAAAATGGTCGACCCAGAACCATGCTTCAAGAATTAAGAAGGCGGATATCCGCAGCGATTTATGGTTGGGATTGTCCCTTACTAGCCTTCATCTACCCGAATCGGTTTGGAGCACGTGGCTCACCTTGCATCGACCTCGCGCCGAACCGAACCGCCGGCCTTGAAGGCTGGCGCCCTCCGGGCGGGCCGCGGCGCTGGCCTGGAGATCCGGGGACAGTCGGATGTCCCGCAGGAAATGTCGATGCGAATTGAAACGAGCGCCGCTGTAGTAATTTAGGCTCCAAACAAACATGGAGGAAAGCCCAGAGGTGCTTTTGAAGGCTCCCCCAAAAAACAAACATGGAGGAAAGCCCAGAGAACCTGAGGTCCTTTGACACCGAAACAAGCGACACACAACCCAAGTGCCAGAGGAAGCCATCGATTTTCCAGCAACAGAGTTGTGGCATCAAAGGGTTTCTCCTCACCTCTGTGATACAAGGGAGTCTTGATATTGACAAGTAGTCTTTGGGAAGCCCTTTTTGCATCACAGAAGTGGATTCCATTCCCCACAGCCCTCATTTCAACCCAAGAAATGCTGAACCTACTTGTGCTGGCAGCTGGCGGGTTGCATCGGGACAGACTGTGCAGAACGGGTAACATCCTCTCATTGTAAGCACAAGTCCAGCACAAGTCCAGCACAAGTCCAGCACAAGTCCAGCACAAGTCCAGCACAAGTCCAGCACAAGTCCAGCACAAGTCTAGCACAAGTCCAGCCCTGAGCAACAAGGACTCCGATGCCCCAAACCGCCTCCCCGCCTTGCGCGGGCTGTGGGCGTCCTGCAGCGTCGTGCCTCGAGGTCGTACATGCCGGGGCCGGGCACCTGAGCTTCCGGACCGAAAACTCGGGTGAAGCTTGACATACGCGTGAACCCCCATATTTTTTTTTTTGGATGTGTGTGTTGTTTGTTTGTTTTTATTGTTTTTCATATACATATATATATATAATTATTCTTTTATAGTTGTGCTTTCTGGTGTGCGACCTGCAAACAGGTTGGGGTCCTAGTGGCTTACCTGCATTCGCAATCCAAGGGAAGCTTGTCCACTTAAATTCAGATGCATGCGAAGGATGCGTTTGCCGGGTTCGTATTATTCGTATAACAAGTTAACATGTTGATGCTTCTCCAAATCAGTGGTAGATTTCAGATCGCCATGAGGGCAAACTTGAGAGTGACTTTTAATGGACCCAGTTGGGTGTGCTTCCTTTTGTTTGACGCTCACTCTCTTGGGGTGGAACACCTAGGGGAAACCGAGTCGAACCTCCGCCACTCGCTTGGTTGCCAAGATCCAGAATTTGTTTTTCTCCGGCCCCACCCTTTTGCGGGTGTCCCCCAAAATTAGCAGTCCCTTTCGAAAGGCGTTTAAAGAGGGTCTCATCAGAGAAAAGACATGGATATGTGCCAAAACAGCCGCCAAGAGAATTATTTGACATCAGATGCTTGGGTTGTGCAATTTGGACAAGAGGAGAATAACTAGGAAATCCCCCTCAAAGGCAAACCCAAAAGGGTGGAGAAAACAACACAAAAGCACGTCTCAAAAGGGTCCCCCTATGAAACAAGCTTTTGGTTTCCAGCTAGATACGAACCAAAACGGCCCCGGGGAGAAAGCCAAACGTCTCCCAGATCCCCAGTGATGGAAAATCATGAAAGAATCGGAACCCTTGTTTTGGTTGGCTAAGGTCAACCGGCTCCCTCCCCAAGGGGCAAAAGGAGCCACCCCCTTCCCCCCAAAAACAAAATCAAAAACAAAACAGAAAAGAGGGGAAGAGATACATCTGACCACCGCGCAATAGCTGAAGCCTCGAAACGAAGCCTATGGCTCAGAACAAGTTGGCCCAGCAGATGGGAGCATGGCTTCGAGCCAAGCCCATAGGTGTCCTAGGGCAAAGAGATGGATTTCCCTGGAGAGTGACGAAAAACCACCGGGTAAGCCAGGAATCGAAACCCATCTATTGTCTACCAAAAGGGATTAAATTTATGCACCACCAAAGAAACCCTGGTTTCTGATGCTTCCCTTGTAAATACCAAGAGAAACCACCAAAACCAACAAAACCACCAAAAACCAAAACCACCAAAACCACCAAAACCACCAAAACCACCAAAAACCAAAACCACCAAAAACCAAAACCACCAAAAACCAAAACCACCAAAACCACCAAAAAAACCAAAACCACCAAAGCCACCAAAACCACCAAAATCACCAAAAACCAAAACCACCAAAACCACCAAAACCACCAAAACCACCAAAAACCAAAACCACCAAAACCACCAAAACCACCAAAACCACCAAAACCACCAAAAACCAAAACCACCAAAACCACCAAAACCACCAAAACCACCAAACCACCAAAACCACCAAAAAAACCAAAAACCAAAACCACCAAAACCACCAAAACCACCAAAACCACCAAAAACCAAAACCACCAAAACCACCAAAACCACCAAAACCACCAAAACCACCAAAAACCAAAACCACCAAAACCACCAAAACCACCAAAACCACCAAAACCACCAAAAACCAAAACCACCAAAACCACCAAAACCACCAAAACCACCAAAACCACCAAAACCACCAAAACCACCAAACACACCAAAAACACCAAAACCACCAAAACCACCAAAACCACCAAATACCAAAACCACCAAAACCAACAAACCCACCAAAACCACCAAAACCACCAAAACCACCAAAACCACCAAAAAAACCAAAGACCAAAACCACCAAAACCACCAAAACCACCTAAACCGCCAAAAACCAAGACCACCAAACACCAAAACCACCAAGACCACCAAGACCACCAAAACCACCAAGACCACCAAAACCACCAAAACCACCAAAAACCAAAACCACCAAAAACCAAAACCACCAAAAACCAAAACCACCAAAACCACCAAAACCACCAAAACCACCAAAACCACCAAAAACCAAAACCACCAAAACCACCAAAACCACCAAAACCACCAAAACCACCAAAAAAACCAAAACCACCAAAAACCAAAAACCAAAACCACCAAAAACCAAAAACCAAAACCACCAAAAACCAAAACCACCAAAACCACCAAAACCACCAAAACCACCAAAAACCAAAACCACCAAAAACCAAAACCACCAAAAACCAAAACCACCAAAAACCAAAACCACCAAAACCACCAAAACCACCAAAAACCAAAACCACCAAAACCACCAAAACCACCAAAAACCAAAACCACCAAAACCACCAAAAAGGGACACCGAACAGCTCCAGCCCTGCGCCGTCTTTCTGCTGCGCCCAGCCGCGTCCGCGTTTCGGGAGCGCAGGCCTTCGAGGCGATCCAGGGCGGACCTGGCGAGCTGAGGACTGGGGGGCCTTCAAAAAATAAGGGGGCAACAAATGTGTATAACACATGTGTATATATATATATACCTCCCCCACATCAAACCTACCGTTTTGAAGAATTCGCCGGTATTTGCGGTGTAAAAAAATGTGCATATATATATATATATATATATGTTCATAAGCCCACAAAGGAGTCAGGAGCCACTATATGTCGTATGTAATCAAGCACAGCTCAGAACCCGGAGTTGGCACGATCTCTCGCCTAAAACTCGGGTCGCCCAGGCTGACCCGGTCCTCAGCTGTGCTGTGCCGGTCCCTGGTTGGAGTGGGGCTCCAATCTCCATTTTCCAGTCTTCAGCAAAGAAGGGACACTGATGTACTGGTCAGAACTCAGAACTGAATTGCAGCGGGAACCCCCAATTCCATGCAAAATGGGGGTGGGATCCATTGGGTGCGTGTCTCGGATACGTTTACTGGTTTCCAAACAAAGGCAAGCTCAGCACACTGCAAAGAAGCAATCAAAACACATCCGAGGGGTTGAACAACTAAGCGGGCATGGCGCCCGTGTGCGTTTTGTTGCGTGGACTGCAATTCAGAGGCCCCAGCAACTTGGCAGATCTCCGCCTGACGAGGGGTGGTAAAATTCGACTGGCGTGTTGATGGCGATCTCAACTGTTCGGGGGTAAAAAGGGCGAAAGCCATGTTGTAGGTGTTTTTTGCCTTGGGGATCCAATCTTGCTTGCGTTGGACTCGTTTTAAGAATAATTCATTTGCATCGCTGGACTTGTGCTTGCCATGAGAGGGTGTTACCCATTCTGCACAGTCTGTCCCGATGCAACCCGCCAGCTGCCAGCACAAGTAGGTTCAGCATTTCTTGGGTTGAAATCACCTTCTGGTTTTCGAATAGGACATCCACCGCCACTGGGGTAGGTTTGAGGAACCACACAAATGTGGCCATGGTCATGGTTCGATTGAAAGCGGAATCTGCATCATCTTTATTGTCTAAGCTATCTGTCAAGGAGTCCCTGACCATCCCAACCAATCTCAAGTAAAAGGGTGCGTTGACTATGCACACATGGGTGTTTCTCAAAACTGAGACCCCCAAAAAGGGCAAGGGTGTTCCTGTTGCTTTCCATTCAAATACCAACCAAAGCCCGTCGAAGCATAAATTCTGGCAGGATCCTTGCCAAGAGTGCAAGCCGCCTCATAGTGCGCTGGTCCCGGGGTGCGCGAGTATTCCTTCGCAAGGCCACACAGCAGGCGGAGAGTGGCCTTTCAACAATTAAAGGGCAAATGGTGGTGGTTCCCTTCGGTGTTCCCGCAAACACCACCTGAAAAAGTGGGCGCCCCACCCAAGGTGGGCTTCTCTTTTCAGACCAACCCGCCCGAGGAATCTGGGAAGTAATCTAGTTTGCCCAAAGAAGCAGCAGAACAGTAGCCAAAGCGAGTCCGTTGCAGGTCCCTGGGCAACCAGTCTTCCCATCCCCGCAAAGTTCTCAAAAACTTGGGGGCTGCATGGGACCCAATGATTTGGTTGATAGGGGTCCCGGTGTACCCTTGAAGGAGAAAATTCTTGACTTTTGGGGGGACACACTCCACGCATTTTACCAGATTGAAACAACAAAAAAAGCTGGGGCGGAATTAAGTGAACATGGAGTCGGTCTCTTCAAGAGGCAGGGTGCCTAGGAAGCTGTTTGTAGCCATGCAAGAGTTGCCCGCCGCCATGGTAAGTCCTCTTTCTGTGGGTTGCCACCAGGCTTGCCAACCATTTACCCCCCCCCCCCCCCCCAAAAAGAAAGAAAGAAAGAAAGAAAGAAAAACAAATACTAAGCTTATCACTTTGTGGGGATGCAAACCTTTTTTTTTGGTGGGGGGGGGGAACCCGGTGACAAAGAAGGGCCCGCCCGGCTTCCCAACCTTTTGGCCTTCGGACAGGGAGACATATTGTGCAATGACTACTTCACGGGAATTGTTTTCGTATCGCAGAAAATTGCGATAAGCGGGAAAAAAAGAGCTGTGAACATAGCTTGGGTCTGTCTTCCGCCAGTTGCGTGTCCGCTAAAAACCCCCAGACCAAAGGGCCCGTGGGAGATCGAAGAAGGCGGCCGAAAGGGCGGTCCTGCTGGTGCGTGCCCCGCAGGCTGGAGCTATTGAAGCCCTTGATCTTCGAGTCCTGAAGAACCCTCTCAAGGTGTTCCGTCCGGAAGCTTACTTTCGATCGAGTGGATTGGCCAAAAAAAGACAAAACTTTTTAGTTGCCACCAAAATGGTCTTCCCAAAAAGTATCAAGTTCAGGAATTCAGGAAGTGAAGAAAGGATCCTGGCTGAAAGGCGGAAAAAACCAAATTTCAAAGTCCAATTTGGGGCAGAGCTGCTTCAAAGACCCGAGCACACGGGTCGAAACTTGGTCCGAAAGGAGGAAGCACAAGAAAGCCAATGAATTTCAAGAGTTCAGTTCCTATTTTGTGCAGGGGCCCAACATGGAACCAGTGGTTCCCTGGCTCTTACATGTTGAGCCACACCCATACACATCAAAAATCATGATATGTCTGTCCCAGGCAAGCAAGTTCAAACATAGGAATTGGACTACGCAAGCTGGCGTCTCTTTGAAGCACCGTCCGCCAGGTCCACGAGTTTATCTTCGACAAGTCCCAGTTTGTATAGCTCCTTGACATTCCCAAAGTGCGACAGTTCATAACTCGTTCCCCCGATTGCCCTCGACACCTAGGAGCACCGTGCCTTTCTTCTGGACAACACCGGGGTGGCTCCTAAAATAGAAACTGAAACTGGACAGGCGGTTGCCTCCCTTTGCGCTTGGGGCCCATGGAATTGGAACTGCACCTCTCCGGTGGCAAATTGGGTCGTTTTCAAGTGCTCCGAAAGTTGCACATTGTTCTTATTCTTTGCTGTTCACCCATCGTCTTGTCAGCTTCCCTCCCATAGGTGGTTGGTTGGTCAAGAAGCGGCTTCCAATTTGCCCTCCACAACCAGCGGGTCAATCTAAACAACCAATTAGGGGTTACCTGACTTTTTAAGGGTCGTGAAAAACACAAACCCTTTCTGTGACACCGAAGTGGACCAAAGGCGACTCAAAGCATTTCAACCAATTGCCCTGTCTCATGCTGAAATGGATGCCACCAGGTACCCCTTTCAAGAGAAAAGTTATCTTCTCAGGGTCCTGGAAGCTGCCTTGGAATCGCCAAGGGACGAGGTCTTTCAAAGAGACTCTTCCACGTCTGTGCGTAGGAGTCGTCCCTTTGTCCAAGTTCAGCGACGCTTGTAGCAAAAGAAAATGGACCTCCTTTGGTTGGGCATTTTTGGTGTAGCCGCCAAAGCAGAAGTGATTCGAAGGGCGGGAGGAACTCTGAACAAAACACCCGCTGCCTCTTCCAGCTCGGGCTCGGAACCTCGGAAAGGAAACCATGGGAAACCTGGGGTTCCAGACCTGGCCTGTCCTCAGATCCCCCGCTGAAAGTTTAACTTTTGGTGGGTGAAATGGACATCCCCACTAACCCCCAAAAGGCCAAAAGCTAAGGAACCGGATGGCTGGGAGCCACCAAGAAACTGGGGATCCATGTTCTGCGGTTTTGTGGGACGTCCCCAGTGCCGCGGCGCCAATGCACCATAGACTGGGGATGTTGTGACCACTGGCTTATGGCTTTGTGGTTTGCATAGCCTTGAGCCCTGATGAAAACCCCCCCTCTTGGTCATTCATTAATCAGGGGCTCCCCCTGGCGACAAAGGATCCCTTTTACTTCTAATTCTAAGTGTGGGGGGGGGTTATCAATCAGGGCATTCGACTTCTGAGGATATATTGTGACCACTGGCAGCAACTCTGCAAGCGGAAAGACTGAGGGCCTGTGCTGAGCATGGATGCGTTGGCTCATCGCCGACAGAGGCCTAGCCCTGTTCGCCGTACGATCCAAAATGCAATGCATCTTTGGTGCACCTCTTAAGTCGAATTGAGTTTGTGTTCATTTGGTTTCCAGTGGTGGGCGTTCCTAAACAAGGACACACCTGAATGCCACTCGGGGGGGGGGTGGTGCATTTGTGCCTACCTGTGTCTTCTCTCTTTCCCTGCTTGAACAGCACAGTGCGGGCATCACAAGCAAAAACCAAGGACTTTCGGTGTTGGTCCCAAAAGCAGGCTTGGGACAAGCCCCTTTTAGCCCTTCCCCCTGAAAAAAAGAAATCAAGCAAACAGTGGGTCCGGGTCCTCCAGGTAAATGGCAAACGATAAGCACCGCACGGGCGCACGCTCCTTTAATGTCGCGCCCAAGCAACGTCCGCCGGCTTCGCCGCATGGAAGCAGGGCGCGCCCCATGCACTGGGCAAATAGATGTCCCATTGACTTCAACCCGAGTCACTGAGTTCATTCAAGTGCATATTACTCAAAGCACTTTTCAGGGTGGACTCTATACTCCCTTTGTTGCACTGAAGCACCCCCGTTCATGCCCAGACCCAAGCTTGGGCTCAGCAGTCTTTGCTGAGCTGTGAAACCTCCTACGTGACACGGCCTGTTTTGGAGAGCACGTTGAGACGGATTATATAGTCTTGTGGTTTGCGACCGGATTACTCGTGTTGGGACTTTGAAATGCCGCACAAAACCTGGTTCCAACAATTTTGGGTGTTTGCCCCTGGTTTGGACATGTCGAACAAGGTAGATGTGCCGGGCAGGCAACTCTAACTCACAAACAAGAAATCATCAAGTAAGGAAAGGTCATCATGCGTGAGCTCGCTTTACCACCCCCACCCCTTCGGTGAGTTCAGAGTTGAAAAAACCTGCTGTGGGCTGGGCTTCCTTCAAACGGGGGGCCGAATAGGATATGGCTGAAACAAATGGTCCCATTATCACAGGCACGCTCTATTTTTCAGAAGGTTGCCACCTACGACATGAGAATTCGGCACGCACGCCGGCGATTTGGTGAGTCTGCCCGATGTCGTTCCCGTGACGATGAATATTGATAGTTGCTCACATAAGTAGCAAATGAAACTTGATTCGCGCTAATCCGCTATAATCATAGGTGGTGGTCTTTTGGAAAAATAGGTGGCTTTGGTAAATGGAGCAAAACCCATCTAAACCAGGACCATCTAAAAGGACACCTATGACTATGATCCCAATGTCGTTCCATGCCGTCGATGGGACCAGATCTGATGCTCGCCCGTCCAGGCTCTCTCAGCCGAACAACTTCGCCAGGGTCGAGCGCTGGAACTCCACGTTGTGCACCTTGCGGATGCGGTTCCAACGTTTGGTCGGATCAAGATTGAAGAAAAAAGTATCTGGGCCGGGTGAAAAACCACCCGGCCAAAACTGTTTTGAAGAGGCAAAAGTGCCAACCTTGCGGTTTGTAGGCACGGACCTCGCATGTGGGAGTGGATTGTAAGTGACGCTGTTTGACTGCAAAACTCCTTTTGGGGAAGATGTTTGTCTTCGATTTGTGCAGTTTGGACTGATGAGGTCTTTGCAACTCCAAAGCTGCCAACGTCGGAGAATACCATTGAGCCAGCACTCGCCGACCTGAGCCATCAACGCTTTTCACAAGGAAACACCCAATCAAACTGGTCTGAATACGGAAAGCAAAGCAGCCTAGAGACACGAGATTGCCAGGGCTGCTTGTGGAGATCAAAATGCAAGTCTCACCCCCACGCCGCCCCGGAGGCTGATGCGTTGACATCTGCAATGGAAAACGTGGGGTATGGGCGGTATGGGAAGGATGGCATCTCTGCTGGAGCCATCCTGCCCCTGCACGATGCGAGGGATACTTTTTCGAATGCGAAGGCCCATCCCGTGCCAAAGAAAACGACAAAATACCGAGCCAAAGCTCGAAAGTTGTACAAATCGTAAGGATCTTGCTTGCTCTGGGGGCCTGGCAAGCGCACCTCAAATTTTTGCATGTCTGCATTCTTCAGACCACAGAGTCCAACATGCCAAGGCTGGAACCACGCTCATCCTGCGCCCAGAAAGACTTCTGAGCTTCTTGGGCACAGGAATGCTCACCAACATCTGCAGCACCCTTCGAGCACGCTTCATGGCTCAGCGCAAGCTCGATGCCAAGCGCCCGTGCTGCCAGGAGGGGCGCAAGCACTCTCCTGGCGAGCCCGTCGTGGATGTTGCCTCTGCTCGGGGCCAGCAGCTTGGATGCGTTGAGGCTAGGTCTTCAAGTTCTGCGCCAACCTGGCGCCATTTTTTGACCAAGCTGCCGGTGACTCGCAGCGAACGCATGGCGCCTTCACCCTTAGGCGCCTCCCTCTCCTCGGGAAGCTGCCAGTCTTACGGCCCGAACTTGGGCTCAAGGAGCTCAACGGCCTGCGCCAGGCCTGTGGCCGCGGCCTGTCGGCCTCCGACACGAAGCTCCGTAGCTGGATGCCTGTGACTGTCTAACGAACGCGTCACCGGCGCGAGATCCGTCTGGCAGAATAAATGGAAAGCCCAAGTGCCTGACCAGATTGATGAACAGGACTGGGGAACAATGGAGAACCCACAAATATGCCATAGGCGTCTTGGTTCACCGCAACGTGGCAGTGGCCGCAAACACTGTCAATTTAAGCATCAGAAAGCGTAACCTTAAAAAGCCGATCCCATTTGTTTAGCGGGGAACGCCGGGCAAAAAAGCCAACCATCATCAAGCAGAACCAGCCCAACAACCAAAATATCCGGCAAGCATGAGGAGCATAATTTGCGTCTACACGTGTTGCTTTGGGAGAATATACATTCCAACTATGTCCAAACATGGTCAGTGGCCTTCTGGTTGCCCTTTAAAGCCGAAAATAGCTACTAGGTCCTCCAGTAGAGAGGTTCGAATAAGGGTGCCAACTTTGTTCTGTAGTCTATTTTAGTAGGGGAACCCTCCCCCAAAAAAAGTTGGTAAAAGGACACCTAAGCTGGGGGACCTAGGATTCCATCCCAAAAAAAGACGGACAAAGATGTCTCCCTCGAACCTCCAAGGCGCCTCCCGGAACTGGTCCACCACGGACTGCAGCATCGTGGCCACCGCGCCACCCGCCTGGCGGAACCGGCAAGGGACCGGCACCGAGCGATCCGAAGAGCCAAAAAGCCCCGGGGTGGTGGAAAAATCGAAGGCCGATTTTACTGGGGGACCGGTTGGTGACTCGACATCGTTTGGGAGTGTTCACAAACAATTGGTCCAAAGTGTTCCCTATCAAGTTTCAGAGTCGCAGCGCCCGAAACCCACTGACCGTTGGTTCCAGGAACCTGGTCAAGGTTTATATAAGCCACTATAGTCCCCCAACAAACCAGGCAGTGCCCCGGGCTAAAATTGGCCAATTCCCTGCTTTGCCATAGGTGGCCTTTTGGAAAAATAGATCCCCCTTGTAAATGGAAGAAATTTCATCTAAACCAGTGGAACCCCTCTTTTTTTAAGCAAACCGACCAAAAAGGCACCTATGCGCTTCGCGCGCTGCTCTGCCTCCTTCATCTCGCGCAAGAAGTCGATGAGCGCCTTCTCGTCGATGCGGTCCGGTCGCGCCTGGAAGCTGCTGAAGAAGTCGCACCGGTCTCGGTGCTTAGGATCCGGGTCTATGAGAACGCCCACGAAACTTCCGGCGCCGGGAGTTTTTTGAGGACCATATTGGGTGCTGTTTTCTGAGTGGGGAATTTGCATCTGTACTCAGAGAGAACTCCCCCAGGGTTGGGTCAACGTGCTTTTTCACATGCTAGCAAGCACGATTCCTCAAATACCTCCATTTGGTTTCCCCTTAAGGTCTGGTTGCTGGTTTTCAAGGGGGACATCGAAAGTTTGGGGCGCTCTGTAGCCTTCCTTGGAGGTCGATAGCCGGAATGTTTTTCCGTCAGCGCCGCTTTCGAACACAGCATCCGGGTAATGTTGACATATGTTGACCCAACATTCACAACCCCTGATTGATTACGAGGGGGGTGGCTTTTTGGCGCAACCCATCTTAGGGGTTTTCCACACCATTTTCGAGGTCAGCACCCACACACAGCCCTTTTAGTCTGCCAGGTTTATTCATTTTCCGCCGGCGATTTGGCGGATGTCAGTTGCAGTGCCATGGACGGGTGACAAGACTGGAACAAACACCAAAGTTCCGGAGCGTCAATTTCAGAAAGCTAAAGGAGCCAGATGTAGACGCCTTGCAACAAAATGACTTGCCGTTGAAGGGGACAATGAAGCACAACAGAACGAACACCAAGAAGGCAAACACTTGCAACTGCTTTTGATTTGCTACGCTAAGTCTGGGCAATAACATAAAGGACACATCCATCCCTTCTCCTTGAAACCGTGTCGGAACATGTGCAGCCAGCCGCACGCATCCAGCCTCATCTGCGGCATCCTGGGATGCAGGTCATGAGGTGTGCATTGGGCACCGCCAAGGCGGTGAGAGTTGCTGGTGCTCAGCAGGGAATGAGGGAATGAGCCTGTGGATTCTTTTCAAGGAATCCACGGGGGATGGTAGGATTCATTCCCTCATTCCCTGCTGAGCACCAGCAAGTTGAGAGTTTCAGCATGAAATCATGCACTTTGTGGGAGCTCTTTGCGCCTACTGAGATCAGACGGCGTTGGGATCATCACCAATCTGCCAGTTGCCGTGATTTCTGCATAGATTGTCGATTGGACATTCTCCAACAACACATGATGACTTGCTCACCTACCAGCAGCATGTCAGACCCTTGGTGGGGGCACCTTTGAAGGGTGGCACCAACTCGGATCCCGAAAGCGTCTCTGACTCTCCCCGCTTCCTGGGTGGCTTGGCCGGGCAATGAGTCTTGTTTGTCTACCACGAAAATGGTCTGTTGCTGCAGTTAAATTCTGTTGCCTCTGCTCAAGTGGCAACCGCTCTTGCCAAAAACGATCCTCCCAAAAGGTACGACTTGTGAAGGTGCGACTTGTGGGTTCTTCTGTCCTCGCATGCGGAACAAAAAAGATCGTGGAGGGGCCGCTGCTATCCGAGCGTCGCTGTAGTGCAGGCGCAAAGTCTGCAGCAGCGTCTTCTTGGAGGCATCCAAGGCCCTGCGCATCGGGCGGGGTAGAGAATTCCTTTCAGTTGGGATCTGCGCCTTTTTGAAGCTACCCATTTTTTGGGGTCGATGCAAAACACTAAAGGGAAGCAATCCTGTTTTGCATCCCGTCTGAGACAATTAGTGTAAAGAATCTTGCGAAGTGAGTGTGGATGTTTGATAAGGGTGCATGAGTGTGGATGTTTCTATGTGGGTGCAAAAAGTCAACCAACAAGTGAGTCTCTTCTTAATCTAGAATGTCCACTACGAGGGACCTTGTGCTAGTTTCCATTTAGATAAAGGGAGCCGCAGGCTACTCCAGGGTGAAGGTAGATGGCACATGTCCTTTCTGTGGGTAAGTGAAGGAAGGAGATGTCTAAACCAAACGGAGGGAACGGGAACATCTACTTCGCCCGCATGTATGTCAGCCAATTCTGACGCTGGAAAAACCTCAACATCAAAACAGGAAGGAGCAAGCTGGGTGTCTGGGATGTGCAAACGCGACCCCCTTGTACAGAGTACAGGCTTTATAAAACCAATCAAAAGCAGTGGACCCCATCTATTTCCAGCCGAACGAACCACCGCCGCTTTAGGCCCCCGGCTTCAATGCCGCTGCTTGAGGCCGGCAGAGCCAAAACCTCCGGATGACCTGGGAAGCCCGATTCAGATGAAATTCACCCGGTGTGGCCATACTGTGGACGGACGAAATTCTGCACCACTTTGAAACCGTGGGAAACCATTGCTCGTTGCTATCTTTCAGGGGAATCATCCGAAACCAGGGTGTCTTGGGTGGTGCAGGTGTTTGTCCAACCACAATATTTCCCCCAAAGACGGGACACTGTCCTGGCCCAAGAGGTGATGGTCCAAACCAAAGGTTGAAACTTTTGAGCCCCTCACGTGCTTTTGCAGCGAGTGCAATATGACACTCCCCCATGCGGTCTGTCAAAGCCCCACGTGGAATCCAGGATCCATGAACCCCTGGTTGATTGATATGGGTCCCATTTTGCAGCTATGAATTCACCAGCTTGATCCGAGGTCTACATCATCCCCCTATTTACTTTGACACCTCTTTCAAACCTATAACTGTCATGCTTTGCAAGCTTGAGGGCCATGCCAACCATATATATATATATATATAGAAAAAACATATCGCTTTGAATACTAGCTATTAGCTCTAAACCTGTAGAGCTCAAGTATTCAAGTCTTCTCTTTTTTCTTTTTTTTTTCTCCGGGATATCTCGCTGAGAGAACATTGCCTTCAACATCAACCAAGAAAGTCATGTTATGCCATCTTCATGGCTCTAAGATGTGTGACCGCCTTTATTGGGGCCTATTTTGACACACGAGCCACGAACAACACGACTTGCCCAGGACAGTTCGCCGTTTCTTCTCCCTGCCAAATAGACCATAGACTACCAAACAGGTTGACTGAACCTCACGCACCCATGTGGCTTGTGTTTCTTTGAGAGTCCCCTGCGGTACACCTCCCAGGTTTGTGACAAAGCTCCCTCTGTGGTGCCTAAAGGACCCACGACAGGTGAACCTCTAGGTCCTCCAGTAGAGAGGTTCGAACAAGGGTGCCAACTTCTTTTTTTAGTCCATTTTACTAGGGGAGCCCTCCCCCAAAAAAAGAAACGGTAGAGAAGGGCACTACTGACCTAGTCTTGGAACCTTGATTAAGCATGGACCAACTCAGGCAAACCAAAAGGTCCAAAACATCAGCTTGGGGCCAGCGGACCTCCACAGCCGCATGGTGCAGCATTCGGTCCAGGGAGGCCACGAAGAGGTAGTTCTTCACCTAAACCCATGATGTTAGCCTCGCATGCCCAAAGATCCCGGAAATAGTCAGAGGTTGGCCATGAAACAAATGGGTTTGGGGTATTTTCTTTTAGAGATACCCTATTTAGTCGATTTTAAGGCACATTCAAACGCAAAGTACCCTCTTTCCAACAATCATAGAAGTGGGTTCCTCGGGCTTTTTGAAAAGGACAGTAGTCTTCCAACCTTTCTGTGAGCTTCCATGATTGTTGGAGGAAGGGTAACCTTTGGAGGCCATGACTGAAAAGTGGACCAGCATAGGAAAAAGAAAAGGCCAAATGTCGGCTTTGGGCAGGTGAGGGCCGTTCAATAACTAGACAGCCGTTGGGTGCTGTTAAATAGGACAAAACATCATGCTCATGTGTGTAATTGTTTAGCACCTTATATATCAGGGATCCTTACATTATACACCTGAACATTGCCTTGTAAATGGTGGTGTCCCTTTATTTTGGTGGAAAAAGCCAAGGAGCCCTGTATATCAAACAAACATTATTGCGCCACAAAAAGGTGTTTGCATTGGTGGTTGCCTGGCCTACAGGTAACGTTGCATCTGCCTCAACAAGACCCAACGTGCAAATCCCCAAATCGCAAATCCAAGCCACCTAGGGACAAGAAAACTCAGCCCAAACTGAAAACCACCTGCTAGACAGAAAATTGATCCCCGAAAACAACAGCTTCTACCCTCAGGGGGTCACACTTTGGGAACGGCTGGGACCCAAACAGCGGCAGCCAAGGGGGGGAATTGAAAGGTCACGAGTCTTAATGGTCCTTCATTGCCCCTTGTAGTCATTAGGCTGCAATGGTTCTCTCTGACTCAAGATCAAAGGACAAACTGACAAACCTCCTGTTTGCTGACTCCGATACGCCCCCCTAACCAACTAACAAACAAAATGGCATGACCCCAGTTTCACAGGTGGCCTTCCAATGGACCAAAACAAAAAAAGCACGACGCATGCTTCCGCCCCAAAGAGAAAGCGATCTCGCCATCTCTCGCCTTCTCGAAGACGCCCAGCCAGGCATCGTCGATGGCCACTTCAGGCTCCGGCAAGCAGGAGGTCAGGACCTGGCGGTGTTGATCTCCATACGTGGATCTTCACCGGGATCCTAGGGGAAGTGGATGATGGGAAAAAATAGAATATGGTCTACTTGAAACAAAAACACGTGGCGCAAATATGACCAAGTTCGAGATTTCCCCTTACTTCTCCAGGAAACCAGACCGGGCTGTAGGGGAAGTTCTAGGAACCCTTAGTGGAAGTAGATGTTATGGAAATGGTCAATATGGTATAACACATCTGAAAATACGTGGCAAGCAAATACCGGGATAAAAAATAGGTTTGGTGATAGAAAACCCAGGGTCCTTTTTTCTAACCCCTAGGTCGAATTTCATAGGAACCCCTCTCCAACAACGAAAAAGGAAACTGGGTGACATGCTTTGAGGAGTCGTCGAATCGCGCTTCGCTTCGCCTCAAGGTGCTCCGGCTCGAAGTGGGGCAAACTCTGCAGCTCCGCCTGCTCCGCCAGAGTCCTCGCAAAAGCGCGCCGCGAATTCTCACGGGCAGGACGGCAGCTTTGCGGGATTCTGTCCGTGCGGCCAATGTGCGGATTTTGGTGGATTGTTTTGGGGATTTGTTTGGTCAACTTGTCAGGACTGTGTCCAATAATGTTTGGGGTTGATTTCAGGTTGTTCCTCTTTCGATGAATCATGGAATCCCAATCAAGTACCGAATCCCAATCACACGATTCTGCTTCCACCACCCACACACACCACCAACACGCCGATCCCAGTGTTGGTCAATTCTTGTCTTCTTCCAGGGGGTGGGCTTGTCAGGATACCAGATGCCAAAACTGTAGCAAAGGGTGGCTTCCCTTTCATTGGTGTGTACCGCCGGTTGCTTGCTGGGTCTCATTCAACTGCAGCTGGTTTCTTGACGTGCAATGATCGTCCCTTCTCTGCAGATGTATACCTATTCCAGCCTCCAGGTTCCACTTGGGCGTGTGTTGGAGGGCAGATCAATCCAAGGACATCCACGTTTGGGGGTCCCAAACTTTCCTTATGAATCAACCACGGGTTGAGTGGATTGCTCGGATTCCGATGTCATTTGCGTTATATTGGAGGGCGCCCCTTTCCGGGCTTGAAGTTCTTTAACCGATTTCCATTTCGCAAGGCCCGTCGAGCGAGCCCGCGCCTAGCAACCTCCACACTGGGCCAGTCGAGGATACAGCACTCCTGGCGAAAGGATGGTATGGGCGCATGGATCTTCTGGATTGCATTATCCCATAAGGAATCAGGGAGACAGGTCCTTGCACACACGTTTCTTCCACCCTACCTGTTGGTCGGCCTATACCAAGAGCAGACAAGGTCAAACAACAGGGGGTTGAGAGTTGGTTTAAAGTCTTGGGTCCCGCAAAAGGCTGGAGAAGTTGATGTTTGGAACCATGACGTATTGGGTACCATCCGGCTACATGCTGCCCAAGACATGGCGGCACCTGGGTAAAGGGCATCCTTGTGAACTGAAACATGGGTCCTCGTAGGCACCCCAACACCCTGGATTCAATTCATGTGGCTGTGGGTCGAAACCCTGTACTCCTGGTGAACATCAAAATAGGTGGTACATGGGTGTTCATCCGCCCCAAAATGGGATCGCCATAGGTTGTGACCCATGGGCATCTTTGTTTGGCTTGGAACAAACGAGGGTGCGGTTGGGAACACTTACGGAGCTCCAATTTCAAACGCTTGAACCGAACTGAACCGAACTCAAGATGTAAGACGTTGTCCTAGTTCAAAGGGCAGTTGAGAGGCAAGCAAAAAATGTCTTGCGGTGTTTCTCCTCAACCTTCACAGGAAAACTGTGACGGGGCTTGCCCAAAACCTGGATAAGCCTCAGACGCGGCTCTTGGAAAGTTGGTCCCTAGAAACAGAAAAGGACCCAATTCCAATTCGCAGCATTTGTGTTTTGTGTGGTCATCTAGTGGCTCGGAGCAAGCCTGTTAACCTGTTGGTTGGTGGCTCCCGAATCAAAAGTAGAACGTCCTCTTTCCATAGAGTCCCTGGGGTTTCCATGGAATCGCCTGAGGGAGGGTACTGTTGCCCCCTGACCAACAAACTCACCGCCTATCTTTAAGGGGGGCTCCCTTTTAGTGGGTGATTCCTTCCTGACCCGCGATTAACTGAGCATTAACCTGAAACGTTTGTGCAAGCAAACCAGCTGAACCCTCTGGGCGGGCCATCCCGCACGCGGCAATGCGAGTCGCGTCGATCCGACGGCCTCATAGACCCGGCAGGATGTACCCATGGTGTAGCGCTTCCGCCGTGTCCCGGCCTAAGAAAAGAGGGGGATTGTCTGGGTCCATTTGCGTTTTCGCCCCCTGGAAAACAATGAACACATTTCCAGTAGTGATAGATTCCTTAAAAACCAAGAAGGGAAAATAGAACATCTTCATTTCAGCAAATGATCATCTTCCTTTAACACCATCTCTTCCTGGAACCAAAGGATAGGAATCCAATCCGATTCCACAAAGCTCTTCTGTCAGGGTCCATGGTTGGATTTATGTTCAGCGATTGTAAAGGGTGTCTTAAAGCTAATACCCTGCTTTTAACAATCACGGAAGTGGATGATTGGCGGGGTTCTCCATACAATGCAATCAGCTTGGGAACCGCCCCCGAAACTTTGTGCCAAAAAAAACCTTTCCGGGCCCCAGCTACTCATAGCTGTCTCGGCACCCCATCACCACAAAAACATGCAACACAATGCACCTGGACCCCCAAACTACTCTCAACAAGCGGAAATCAACCCATGTGGCAATATCCTATTTGTATTGCCAACGTGGGTTTGTCTCAAAATATGGGGCCCAAACAAGTAGGCGACACACCCAAACGCATCTTGCCCGAAAAGGCCCCAGGTCACACAAAAAGTTCGCCTTTTGGGGCGAACAACTAAAAGTGGCTTAACATAGGAAAAACCAAAGAACCTTAACTTCCATTTGCTTTAGCCGCTTGTAGACAAATAAAATACAACTATATCCAGTAGTGACAGGTTTCCTTTAAAACCAACAAGGGACAATAACAAATATTCGCTTCAGCAAATGGAAGTTGTTAAAGCTTTGGGGACCCCGCCTGAGGCTCCAAGAGTCGCTGGCGATAGGCCGCCGGTTGCTGGAGCAGCACCTCGGTTGCGACTCGCGCTGTCCGGCAGTTGCGAGTTAGGTTGGTGTCACATCGGGGTCCGCGGGAAATTCGCAGGTCCTTCCTGCTGGTGCAAACTGAAGCAGTCTGAGGACTCCTTCTCAAATGGGCGGCCCAGAATGCCCTGAATGGTTTCCTGGGGAGCACATCTCGAATCCTGCACTTCAATACCCGGCTATGAAACAAGGCAACGACCTGAGAGAAATTTGCCCTTTGAGTCCAATGCCGAAAGTTGGATCAGGTTGGGACGTGCCTTGCGCCGAGGACCAGTAAGTTGCAGCACTTCAGGGGCCTTGAAGCGACTTTTGATAAGTGAGTGCAAGCCAACCTTTTGGGATTAGAACGCCCAACAGTTGTCAATACTCGGTGTCGCGCCCGGACTGCCTCACTCCCCTAGCTTCATTTAATCATTCCCTGATCCAAGTCCCCCCCGCCTTCCCTCAAGCAAGCCATGTGCTTCTGGTTACCTGGGCTGCCTGAAGATGGGGCTGGTCCCCAACTCAGATCCATAGGGAAACAACACGTGAGACTAAAATGGAAGCACCGGGGTCGCCGTCTGTGAATCCGCCAGATATGATCCGGGGGTGCCATGCGTTTCTCATTTCCCCGGGGCTTCTTGAATTTCCCGCTGGGCGCGGGGCATTGACATAAGGCGGCAGCAGGGAGGGATATGCCCTGCGAGCGCGTCCACGCAAAACTGCGCAAGCATCAATGTGGCTGTCAAAGCAAGAGCGGCAACTCAAGGCAAGTGGGGATTGGTTAAAACTAGGGCCCCTCCAAGTCTTATGTTTTCATCTCGGCTTCCTTTTGAAGCTCCAAAAGCATTGCGTTTCTACATCCCCGTGTAGATCGGATCACTTCGCGGGCTGCGCTGCTCTGATTTTGTCGGCATGCACCTCCCAATCAGCATCCAAGGCATTCGATCAGCATCAATCCACATCCTCGGACTCCACATTTCGCCACTTTCCACTAATATGGACCCTAATTGGGAGGTCCTGGATCGTTTGCTCTAAAAGAGATCCTTGAGGTAGCCACCAGGCAGTTCCAGGAATGGACAGTGGGCTAAAACTTTTTGGGTATGTGTCGAAGTATAGAGGGACCGCGCATTGGCAGCTGTCCAATCGGTTCCCCTTTAAATCAACGACAAGCCCGCGTGTAGATGTTCTTGCTGGTGATCAGGGAATCAGGGAACGACCCTTACAAACACAATCCGCTATGGTTTCCTGTAAGGGAATCCCCAGGCTCATTCCATTTCTCATTCCCTACTTTCCCTCATTCACCTACTTCTCGCACATATCGCGCAAGTCTTAAAAGTAGCGCGTTTTGCCCCTGACAAGCTCCCGCCTCAGGACCTTGCAAAGCGAGCACAGGCAGATCTGCAGCACCAGCTTGGACTTGCCTCGCGAAGAAAAGCCGAGGGTCGAGCCGAGGTGTTTGGGAAACTTCTCAGCAACGTTGGTCAGTCGCTTGATGTCTGGATCCTTTCCTGTAAAGGGGCGAATGTCGTTGAAGACACCCACAAATCTTCTGGCACTCTCCAACTTCTGTTTTTTTGACAGCACTGGGGGTTTTGGGAAAGAGCTGCCGTTCGGTTTAGCTAGAGGAAGGCTTCAACCAGCACTTGAAGGGGCAGGGTACTCAGCAGCTGGCTAGTAGCCATGGATATAGACCACATGGTTTCAAGTCCCCCGGCCAGTCATGTGACAATGTGGGCGTGTCTTTTGGGGGGCCCACTGAAATTGGTTAAAATTCCTTGTGGTGTACCTTCAAAACCTACCAAAAAAGGGCTAATTACCCTCAAAGTCCCATTTGGGTGTGGCTCAAAAATAAACGATCGGAGGGGCCAACCGCGGGTTTTGGTCCATGTGTCCACTTACCAGGGCCAGCCATTGTGGGCACCGGTTTTTTGAGCCACAGCCCTGTTAGCCGCTCACCCCAACGCACCCTGAATGGGCCAAGCCGCCCTTGCCGGACATCAGCTCTCTGGCCACCTCGGGAGAAGCGAAAAGCGCCGCCTGGGCTTCTCGTGTTTTGTGTGTGTTTTTTTTTGGGGGGAGGACCACCGTTTTGCTGGGTTCGAAAAGGGAACACCTTTTTGGAAAGCCAACAAAAACGTGGGGGAGCACCCCCGATTTTGAGACACCCCCACATGTTTTTGGCCAACCCCTGAGTCTTTTTAGTTGGATGGGACCAAATCGGAAGCCAACACTGCAAACAGTTTGTGTTTGTGCAAATCAGGATGAACAAAAACAACGCGTTGAGGGGGCTGTCTTTTTAGCAGGGCTTCCTTTCTTCCGGGAGGAATCCCTTGATTGATTTTGAGGGGTTCAATTAATCAGGGGTCAGCATTATGCAAAAAGCTTGCCCACTGGGTTTGAGCCTACCTCTTTTGTTCTGTTTAACATATCGAATTCTCACTTGCACTAGAATCCCGCATGAACCCAGCTTTTGGGCACTCTCCGCATTAGTATGGCAAACATATGTCCAGTGCTTGGATGTTAGGAAAGAACATGAGTCTACCTTCCCACCCACTAGCATGGAAGCAAACTGGGGGAACCTCGAACAAAACAAACTCTAAAGGGGACCCTTTGGTGGGTTCCGCATGGCAATGTCAGTGGGACCATGAACCAATGACCCACCAAAGCCTTGGGGGGGGCTTTCTGTTGGCTCTTTTCCCGTGAATACCCACCACATCCAAAATAGAAGGGTCACCCCGTACCCTGGGATTCTGTCGCCTCAAGCTTTGCAGCCAATGCTCACTTGCAATCAATTGGGCGACCGCACGTTCAGCAATTGCTCTACCGCAAGTTCGTCCACCTCCAGGCTCTCCCCAGCCTGGAGAGAGGGGCAAGTGGGGATGTGGGTCCACCCCGGTTCTGGACCCTTTCTTCAGAAGCGAAAAGGAATGGCGGTGGCTCAAAAAACCGGAATACCCAAAATGGCTTGCCCTGGTAAGCCTAAAATGGCGGCCTGCAGTTGCTGAAGTCCCCCAGAAAAAAAAAGTAAAGGACATATGTCCAGTAAGATAGATTCCCTAAAAAACAACAAAGGGAAGCATGAATACAAAACCAATTTCAGCAAATGGCTTGGCAATGGCTTGACTTGGGTTTCAGCACCTGAACTCCAAGCCGACGAGAGCCAGGCCTCTGTCTCAGCCTGGCTGACGCATGAAGCTGGGCCAATCCGTGGTCAAAGGTGAGCTTGTTGCTTGCTGTTTGCTGTCCCAAAAGACGTCTAAAGATCCAAGCAGAAAGCAGCCAAGTGGAAACCAGAACAGGGAGAGCACAGGCCCTAAGCTCCAAACCACCGACTCAGCCACCAACTTTTATCTCCAGGATGAGTTTCAAGCCCTAGTCGTTGGTTGAGCAATCAGGGAGTGTCCCATTTACAACGTTTTACTTCCCGGGAGAAACACCCCTGTATTTGTCCACCAGCTTGACGGTCAGAGGAGGAGTCACCTCGAGGAATGACAGAACTGCCAATCCCCTTGGTCCCTTTCAGGTAGTCCATGACTTTTGCGCCCTCTGAGCTTGTGGCCACCTTCCACAGGGTGGCATCGCCATCACCCTGCGGTTCGCGATTCGGTCAATGCTGGCCTTACTTGTCGGCGTAGTTTGAGGGCTTTCCTCTGTGTGGCAAAGGGTGAATATCCGCCGACATTGTTCGGCGTGTCGGATACTTACTAGAGGATAGAGGATAATGTTGGGGAGTGAATAATAAAGGGCCCCCCCCCAAACAAAATGGGAGGGGTCAATAGAGAAACCCCCTGAAACAACATGAGTTTCAGACCGGGTCTTTTCTAAGTAGTATTCCAGTAAGTATTGGTTAGTATTGGTTTAGTATTGGTTTAGTATTCTTGCTGACTGGCTGAGTACTGCTTAGAATTGGTTTAGTATTGGTTTACTATTCTTGCTGACTGGCTTAGTACTGCTTAGAATTGGTTTAGTATTGGATTAGTATTCTGGTTGACTGGCTTAGTACTGTTTAGAATTGGTTTAGTATTGGTTTAATATTCTTCCTGACTGGCTGAGTACTGGTTAGATTTGGTTTAGTATTGGTTTAGTATTCTTGCTGACTGGCTTAGTACTGTTGGTTTAGTATTCTGGTTGACTGGCTTAGTACTGTTTAGAATTGGTTCTGGCCCCAGTCCTAAAGAACTGTTCTCAATTAACTCCCCTTAAACAAATCTCATTATTGGCTTCCTGGGTGTTCCCTGTACTACCCCCTTGAAAATTTGGCAGGGTGCAACTTTTAGTAAGGGCTGTCATAAAGAATTTGGCTGCTGGGGACCTCAGTTAAACTTCCTTTTCAGGGACTTAAATCATCATCTCCTTGTTTCTTGCATCTGACAGGCGGGGGGGGGGGGGGGCGGGCGGGGCAGAGAGAGACAGGAGTTGTGCTGAACTAGGGATTAATTAAACTTTTTTTGGGGAACGTTTTCCGGATTTTTTTGCCCCTCACAAAAACTTCTGTGCATTATCTCCCCCTTTTGCTTTTCAGGGGTGTGAACAATTTTGTGTTTTTTTTTGTGTATTGACTCCCCATTTATTATTCGCAACCTAACATTACCCCCCCCCGCCCGACGTCTGATACGTGGGGGGGGGGGCCACGTACCGTGCGGCAATTTGACGCTCCACTAAACGTAGTCTTCGGGGAGCCGCTGTCGCAAAACAGGGGTTCCCCCTGCCGGCTCTTTTGCTGGCTTGGGCTTCCTGCCTCCTTTTGCCGAAAATCTGGAAAAACTCCTCTTTGCGAAAACGCTGGAAAGACCGGGTTTTTTGCGGGAAATACTGGGGGAGAGGAAATGCAAGGAAGTGCAAGGAAATGAGGGGAGGAAATAGGAAGTCGACATGACAGGAAAGCAACGGGAAATGAAAGGGAAACAAAGAGGAACTGAAAGGGACATGAAAGGGACAGAAATGAAAACAAGGGGAGTGCAGGGGGAATGAAAGGGAAACAAAGCACAAGGAAACCAATCGGCACGACGGGAGATGTAGGGAAATGACTCGCAACGCAAGAACGGGACATACATGGAAAATGAAGCGGACATACCGAGAAAACGTCAGGAACATGAAGGGGGAGTTGAAAGGAATGGGAAGGGACATGACCGGGCCATCATGAGAAACGTGAAAAGGACATGAAGGGGAGGTCAAGGGGAAAGCCAGTTGTGAGATGACAATTCAGGGGCATGAAGGGGCAGTGCCCGGACATCGAGGCAACTCGGGGGGTACGTGACGCTGCAATGCAGAGAGAGAGAGAGAGAGAGAGTCAGGGAGGGAGGGAGAGAGAGAGAGAGGGGGAGAGAGAGAGAGAGAGAAAGAGAGAGAGAGAGAGACGGAGGGAGAGAGAGAGAGAGACACAGAGAGCGAGAAAGATGGAAAGCGAGAGAGACAGAGACAGAGCCAGAGTCAGAGAAAGAGACAGACAGGGAGAGAGAGAGAGAGAGTGAGAGAAAGGGAGAGAGACAGAGAGAGAGAGAGAGAGAGAGAGACAGAGAGACACAGAGAGAGAGAGAGAGAGGGAGAGAGAAAGAGAGAGACAGAGAGAAAGAGCGAGAAAGAGAGAGAGAGAGAGAGGGAGAGAGCGAGAAAGAGAGAGGGAGAGAGAGAGAGAGAGAGACAGAAACGGAGCCAGAGTCGGAGAAAGAGACAGAGAAAGAGAGAGGTAGAGAGGGAGAGAGAGAGAGAGAGAGAAAGAGAGAGACTAGGTCCTCCAGAAAAGAGGCTAGAACGAGGGTACCCTTTTTCTGTAGAGGGGTGTGGACAGGAAGGAGACATGCAGACAGAAAGAGACAGAGAAACAGAGAGAGAGAGAGAGACAGATAGAGAGAGACAGAGAGAGGGAGATTGAGGAGAGAGAGGCTTGGGGGGATGGGGAGGATCGGGAGCGGAGGAAGGGAGAGAGGACAACAGAACACACAAGGGAGACAAGGGAGAGATGAAGAAGGAGAAAAGGGAGAGGACAATGTCGGCGGAGTGAGCCGGAGGCTCTAAAGTATGAACTCCCGGCATGAATCCCTGAAACCCCTAGTAAAGTGGAGTGTCTTTCTGTCAAACTCCGTCCAAAAGTGGCAATACAACATACTAACACCCGAACATGTCGAGACTTTGTGGGACTGCGCCCTTGTAGGCAAGCCTCCCACTGAAGGCCGAGCCTGGGCTGCGTCGTCTCGCCTGGTGCCTCAAAGCTCGGAGCCACTCGTTGCAGCTGAATGGTGGCCATGCGTGTTACCTTACGGTCCCCTGGATCGGAGCCACAGCCGGGCTGAATGAACATTGCGGGACCAACACAATGGCTCCCGAATCTACGTCGCTGAATCAGCACAAGCCATCATATGTCCGTTGGACTGTTGGTGGACATCAGAAATACATGGCTGGATTTATGTCCAACCATGCTTCAGCGTTTTCCCAAAATCATATCCATGTGTTCAGAGGAATGGCAGCTAGCAGTTAGAGTCAAAGTGTTTACGGTGCCCCCGGCTTCTTGGCGCCGGCACTTCTCAGCTGCCTTCAGTGTCAAAACTATTCCTAAAGCAGGTCGGCAGCACACCCATTGGCTTTTGGTTCTACGAAAATGGATACCTAGAGTCTCCTTGACCCTTTAAAACTGGGGTCATTACCCGAAAGAAACGGGTGACCCCATTTGAAAGTGTGGAGACTCTACAGGCGTTTGCCATCCAAATTCGCCCGGGTACGTTTTTTTCCCTCAAATGGCCAACAGGCATCGGCGGACCGCTCGGACCGCTCGCACCGAGGCTGAAGCCAGCCAGCTCAAGCAGGCACCCAGTGAGAACCATCAGTTGCGCCTGGACCTGTAAGACTGTCACAGCTCTGGGCTTGGCTGTGGCTCAAAAAAACGGTCACCAAAATGGGTTGCCCTGGTAAGTGGAAACATGGACCGAAACCTGCGCGTAACTCCTCCTGGTTAATTTTGAGCCACACCAACATAGCTTGGGGTCTGTCTTCAATTGGGGAAGCGCGTTCCCTGTGCTCTTCTTTCAGCACCGCAAAAGTACCCTCAAGAAGCCACCTCGATTTAACCATCCACACACCAAAATGGAAGTGCGCAGGTTCCTTTTGGAGGAGCACGTCGAACATCAAGCCTGGATTCCAGTACTCCATCTTTGGACTGCTGGCCAGTACGCTTTCACATTTGTGGGAGTGGTTGTTCAATCCACATTTGCCACCCACCCAGAACGAACGAGTGCCATCCGCTGGTTCAGCACATGATCCTACAATCGAGGACAGACCGAAATGTGCTGGTAGGTCTCTCTCTCTCTCTCTAAACACCATCCAAAAGGCGCTCCTCTTTTTGGGGCCACTATCTGGCAAATTTCTAATCCAAAACCGGACATAAGGAATCCCCAGGTAACCTTCATGAGTGAGCTCGGTCTATTCTTCAGGCAAGACTGTGGATGGTTGCGAAAACCATTTCGCACCATTTTGGTTGAATGGAACACCATACCGTTCATATATTGGCATTTACCAATCAGAAACCAGGTTGGTAAAAACGGTGGTGCGAAACAGATTTCGCAACCATCCACAGGTTAACAGTACAATTTCCCCCATGACTTCACCATGTCAGCCCTGGACGCAAGTCGCGTGGCGCCTCCCACCAGTCGTCCCGTACCAGGTTCACAAAGGCGTGCGCTTCGTGAAGCACCTGCCGATTGACTGCGGCCATTGTCATGGCTCGAAACTCCATCGTGGCAGGTTGCGCTGCTGGTCTAAAACCACTATTCAGAGGTTGATGACCTGCTTTGACCGCATTTGGGATTGCACCCCTCCTATTCTTGGGGATTGCGTTTTACGCAAAACCAAGGGGAAACTGCCTGCTTGAAGGTGAAACCAAAGGGAGCCAAAAGAAAACCGACTATAAGGTAAAGCCGAGGCTGGTTTTGAGGAGAGGTCAAGGGAAACCACCCATTTTGGGGCCCATTTGGAGACAAGCCCATTTAAAGGTCGTCCGAAGGGATCCCATGTGCAACCTTCGACCGCCCCTTCGGCGCATTCTGGGCGAAGGCTGGAGACTGCTTCGAGACCTGCGGGAAGGACTCGGCGCTCTGGGAAGGACTTTAATCTGGCCGTGGGTGAAAAAAATGTACCCAACATGGGTTGTTCTGGGAAATATGGGCTAAAACCTGTGATCCATATCCTGGTCAAATTCTGAGCCATAGCCGTGTCTCCATCTGGCCCTCTGGTACCTACTCCCAGCTCGAATTTGGCGCCATGAAGAGAGGACCATCCTTTGGATGCATCAAACAATCACATTCACAAGCTTGGTTGCTGTAACGACGCCTCCGCCATAAGTGTTTTATCTTTTGTGGGTTTAATACGGAAAGCCAACTTGATTTCGGCCCAAAAGTTAAAGTTTGAAGATCCAATCCAATAGCAATCAAGACTTGGCAGATTTGAGCATTGCATCGTGGTCCTTGTTCAGGGTTCCCTTGTTTGGTCGCTGCAAAGGAACACCCTTTGTGGTATTTTTGAAGGAAACCCAGAGTCACGAACACTAACTGGACCTCTCCCTTGAAAGGGAAACCATGGATGTCCAGAAACATGGGACAGGGAAGGCCGAAGAGAACCCAAAGGGAAACTACCTAGGGGCAAACCATGTTCAGCGAACATCCAACACAAAACTCGATACATAGCAATGCTTCCCGGTCGGACAGAAATTAGGGACCACCAGTTGGTGAAGCTTCAATATATCACAAGGCAAGGAGATGAAGACATGGGTATGTCTCCAAATAATAGGGAACCCAACAATTTGTTGTTTCCCTTTCGATTGCCCTCACAACGACCCCAGGCTGCTCTCAAAAAGCACCAGCTCCATATGAAGCGTGGAATGAAGCTTTAATTTAAACAGTCAAATTGTACACTCAAGCCTCAAACCCAATGCTGTACATCTCCAAAATCAAAAGTTCAGTGAGCAGCTGACAAGCTTTCCACAACAGACCTGTAGAGCCCACCCAAAACCCGCACTCCGGCAATGTTACGTCCATGGCTCATATCTCCTTTATCAACTATGTGACCTCCCACTAACATGAAACCTACGTCTTCCTCCATAAAGGAATGCCCTTGGCATGCCCCGTGTACCCAAATTCTCATGTGCCTAGAGGTCCCTTCTGCTCTTTGGGGTAAGCGAAGCCGAAGGGAAGCCACGTCACCAGAGGAAAGCACCCGGCTTTGGGGTGCGGAACCGCCGAGTCTCCAGACTCCCCTTGGTTCCCTGGCCGCTGCCAGCATGGAGAGGCCGCCCACACGGATGGCGGGCTCTTGGCACTGCAAGGCCACCAGCGCGTAGTACCTACCCATGAAGTCACTTGGTTGCTGTAACAACCCCCTGCAAAAAGTTTACAAAACAACTTTTTGGGGGTTTAGTGAAACACACCTTTACTTCGACCAAGAAGTTAAAGTCTAAAGATCCAACCCAATAGCAGTCAAGGTCAGTCGCTGCCTTTCCCGCTGGGTTAAACATCACCTGTTGGTTGCCGGCCACTTGAATAATATTGTTTTCGGGTCATAAGTTGCGGAGGAGAATGCATTTGGAGCCCTTGCGATTTCCGAGACATTCCCGCCGTCAAAAATTGATACTCCAGGTGCAATGGCACCCTTGGAAAGTGCTGGCAGTTCCCCTGTGCAGGTGAGGAGATGCAGTAGCCCAAGTTATCAACCAACCTGAGAAGCCGTCAGTCCCTGTGAGTCGAACATGAATGAGACGTAACATGGCTGTACCTTCAATATGTGTGCATAGGTTCCGACTAAATCAGGAAGTCGAACCCCATGGATGATTGGCCTTGTGGGGGGGGGGGGGGGGGTTGGGGAGTCATGAGTCGCCGACCGACAGCAAGTCGCAAGTTGGTAGAAAACTGGATCCTGGCGGGAAAGCTAAGGGAAACGAAACCTATTTGCCTTCCCGGTTTTCTCAGATTTGCCGATTTGCCGATTTCTGTTGCAGCTCCCGTTCCGCGCGCAGCCGTGCAGCTTCGGGCACTGGTAATGGCGCAGCAAGTGCTCGTCCTGCAGACCTGGCAAAGGGGCCGGCGGCGTTTTCGAGCGGAGAACAAAGCCGGGAGCTTCGGACATGGCCATGGGTCAAAAGCCAAAATTCCGTGGCCCCCAGACATCCGATTCAATCCAACCCACTAAAATAGGAAGCCTAAAATGGGTGGTGAATTCACCTACCAACCAAAATGGGATCCCAAAATGGGTTTTGACCCACAGCCACATCGGACAACTGGCTCAGAAACAGCTCCCTTTACTTTCCCCTCAAACATCCACCAAAAAGCCCCCTGAACTGGGTCATCAAAATCGAGCTATAAAATCGGGAATGGTGCTGATGCCAGGGCACCTCCCCAACAAGAGCAGGCCAGAGCAAGAGTCCTCTATGCTGGGGTATTTTCACAACCCCTAAAATCACTACCCAAGCAAAAAGGGGGGGTGTACAAGCACTACACCAAGCGTGTAGACTCCGTTGTCCCTTGGCTTTCGGGAGCTCCCTGACACAGGTCCTCTGAGTTGCCGACCCACTTGGATCTCCATCGGCAGAAAGTAGGACAGGCACGAGATGTATGCCTGCCATGGAACCAAAATCCAAAGTTGGGAACGGGAGTGTTCCTTTCCGAGGATTACCTTTTTGGGAGACAACCGGTAAAGGCAATTTGAGGAGAGTCCTCGAATTGAAGAGACAGTCAAATGCAAGTATGTTCTCCATGCGTATGACTTCCGTAAGTTGGAAGGGCATCCATGACTTCAGAATGAGCAGCTCGGCACATGTTTGATCCTTCAATCGACCGGTAGTCAGCTCTTGCCCGAGGCACATAATTAGTAGATACATCTGGACTGCTTCTCTTCTCGCTTCAAACAAGAGGATTGCAAGCGCGCCTTGCAAACCCTGCAAGGGACAATGCACGCCTTTGCTTGGTCCAAGACTAGGTTGGCGTACTTCATACAAACCCAGAAAGGTTTTTGTCATTTCCTTCTGGCCCTTTTCAAGCTCTCTGTCATTGATTCTTGGGCTCTTGGGGGCAGACAAGACGTGCCGAACGCATCTCCCCGGTGGAAAACCCGCTCTCCACCCCCCGCGGCGGGCACCCCGCCGGCATCTTGGCCATGGCTTCTTTCAAGCCCCGCAGCACGTTCAGCCGGCTCAGCACTTGCGGCTGCGCGTAGGAGTACACCTCAGTCGCATCGATCCGATCACGGAAAACAAAAACCCACCTCGAGTTGCCCAAGGGAAGACGTGTACAACTATCATAGACCAGGTAGCTTGTTGAATTTTGCCCAAATCGAACGGGCTTAAACACAAAAGCGTTCGCTGTGTCTCAAAACTGGACATGGAGCCCCCCAAATGCATGGTTTTCCTTCTGACATGTTCTCGTATGAAACTCACAGTGAAACCAAAACAGGTCTTCCGGACAAAAATCCAGCTTGTTACGAGCCAATCTTGGTCTCCTCCTTTCCACCAACAAAAAGCCACCGCGGGTTTCCTTCGCCGACCTCCGACCTCCGACCTCTCGCGGTCCAAGGGCTCCGGCCACCTCGCACAACGGCTCGCGCTTGCCGGCGGTGTCCACCATCAAGGGCGCCAGGGACGGCAGCATGCCGTCCATCTGCCGAGTTGTTTTTCGATGTTTCTCGCGCCGCGAGGTTTGGGGCTCACAAACACATGAACCGGGGGGGGGGGGGGACGTTGGTGTTCTTTTTTTTTTTGCGGCGCGAGGTTTGGTGCCAACAGGGCGGAGACCGAAGGGAAACTTTAAAGGTATACGGAGCCACTTTCTGGGGGGGGTGGTTCAAAAGGGAAGTCAAAGGGAAGCCACCGCGTTTTTGGGATGTTTGGGGGTGGCCTAGAGGGAAGCCACGGGGAAATCAAAACTGTTCTGGGGTGGCTTCAGGACAAACTCGTCTGAGGCTGGGTCCACCTGTCCAAGGACATCTATGGCCAATTTGTGGGCTTTGGGACGAGAACGGCGGCGACCCCCGAAGTGAACCAAAGAAACAGAAGCGAAAACATGTATTTCCTGACAAGGATCTCGGGGCTTGGTATAAACCGGGCCCTTATGACAGCCAAGAAGGTCGTTGGGTCCTACGAGTCGCCATTTCGAGGACCCAAAATCCATCGATCGTGCCTTGTGACGTCCACTGCGGAAGTGACACCGGAGCCGGCAAGTCAAAACAAGCGAGGGAAATCCTTCTGTGCTCGACTGGGCTGTGGCAAAGCTTGGAGGGGCTGGGTAGAAATGGCCCCTGCAGCTTCTGCTTGGAACGGCTCGGAGCAAGCCCGTGGAAAGGCGTTTCCTCTTCTTCCATGTTTCTATTTACAATAAAAAGGGGGACTCCAAAACGGGACACACCAAACTTCCTTGAATGGATCCCATTTCCTCTAACAGCCGATAGTCTGAGCTGCCGTGCCATGAACTGCTGGGTGAGCGTCGGATCTTCCTATCGGGCCCATCGTCGAAACCCGACAAATGCTTCCCAGGGAACTCGGAACAAGGACGCCATGGTGAAAAAGGCCACCCTTGTTTCAAAGCAGAGTTGTGGGGAATCACCACTTCTGTGATACAACAGAAAGGGATTCCCAAAGACTCTTTTCTTATAAAGGGGCGGGATTCCCTTGTATCACAGAAGTGGGGAGAAACCCCTCGATCCCACAACCCTTGTTTCAAAGGAAAGCCCCTCCACACAAAGACACAACTTGGGGAATGGCCCCGCTCTTCAAAAAGTGTACGGGCCCCGCATGTCCAACTCCGAACCTTTTGCTTGAGCCCGGATAAAACCTTGCGGTTCATGGACCCAGAAAAATACGTCGGGGTCCGCAAAGGACCTCCAGCACCCCCAACAGCTGTTTTCACCCATATCCACAACCCCAACTAATGTCCACGGTGTTCAAAAACTGGCCAAGGACCCCCAAAGCCCAGAAAAGTATAGAAAAGTACTGGGGTTCCTTTCCCTCCTCCACCAGACACCATCAAACATGTAGGAAAGGTATCTCTCTTCTTGAACAAAACAACAACATGGAAACCGCCTTGGTCGGTCTCCAAGTGTCCGGCATCTCTCCGGCCAAAAACTCGTTCGAAATTTGCAGTAAATGAGCTCCAGTGACTCCAGTTCTTCCGGCGGAAGCATGGGTCTATGTCTCGAGGCTCCGGGAAAGCCATCTTGTTAAGAGGAAAAGGGAGCAGTTTGAAGGCGCCCCATTCGGAGGCATGCCCATTTTCATCTCTCTTCTCCCTTACAGATGGCTGAAAACCCATTGTTACCCCGTGCCAGGGACACTTCGCGTGTCCTTTTCTCCAGCTCCCCCCCCCCGTCCACCAAAAAAAGGACGCCTCAAAGGAGGTTGCAACCTTCGCCCGAAGGGGCCCTTTTCGGGTGGCTTTCTCGTGGCAGGCAAAGGGGGAGAACTGACCGGTTGGTTTACAAGTCTTGTACCTTAAGACACGTGTACACGCCTTTCTTGGGTTACGCTTGTTTGGTTTGTGAAAGGGACACCTAGATGAAACCCTTCATGTCGGCTTAAATCAATATTAATGGCAGTCTATTCTTCGTTTCCGGAATCAACACAGTATCCATATGACCCACGGACAATGCTTGTTTCTCAAGAGGATTGGAAAGTTGGGGCCCAGTCCCCTGTCTTTGCGGGACATTTGGATTGTCCCTCCATGTACTCCCCCAACCAACAGTAGACTACAAAATAGTATTCTGCATGCTTTACAATAATTCCAGACGTGGAACGACTAATTCGATCCCCAAGCAACATATTTTCATCGTGGTGAGCTCCTCCGGATCGGTGAGCCCGCAAAGAGTGTTGTCAGTTGCTCTTATCACATTATGATACTTCAGAAGTTCTCATAGAACCTGTATATATCTTCGTTTGCGCACTTTTTTCTGCTCCATTTGTTTTTTGCGCGGTTTGTGGTGTGTTTGCAGATTTTTGTGGAATTTGCAAACATTTTGGATGATTTGCGCACTTCTCGGATGAAACTACTCAGATAGCCATATCTGGTACCGCTTGTGGAACCAATCGATACTGCGCTACCCGTTCCTCCGCCGGCGCAGCTGTTTGTTGAAGTCTCTTACGTTTACATCCTAACTAGCTCTTCTTTTGTCTCAACCCAGGCCTGGTTTAGACAGGCATTTTGATGCACATATGGCACACGACGCAAGTGCCGCCTATCACCTGGACTTGACATGTTGTGGCCAGTTGTGGCCATTCATTTTGCAACCCGCAACCTCCATCAACAGTTCCAAGCCCGCAAGTTCTGCCTGGGGTTTGCACGGATCCGCTGTTTGCTCCAGGACTGTGCCCGCGCCCGTTTTTTGTTGAGACAAGTCGCTGTCAGGTGAAACTTTGTCGATTTTCAGCCCCATGCCAGCCCGCAATTTGCGACAAGTTCTATCGCGCCACATTTCGCACATGATCTCACATTTATCTGCGAAGTTCGGACCTCTTTAGGCAGAAGATTCCCCCTGTCCGCCCCTGAATTGCCAACCAAAAGCTTGATACTGAGCCAGATGTGATCAGTTGAAGCTGCACCGATCCCTTTCAGCCTGGAAGCCGTGTTTGGATTCTTCGAATCTCAAAGCTGAAGCTTGTTTCTCTTGTCCATCAAGCTGGCTTGTCAAAATGCAAGGCCAAGCCCGACAACGCCCCAGAGGCAGGCAAAATGCTGCTTTCTTGGATCATTGAGGCGAGTTCTTGTTGACAAGGCGCGCATCAAACCTTGTCCTAGTTGTTTGCAGCCTGTCAGGTTGATATCAAGGCTATATACACTCAGAACCTTTACCCAAGCCAGCCAAAAAACCTTTGCGCAGGTTTTTGGAACTTTGCTTTTTTTGCCTGAAACGCACACTTATCCATGGTGCGCATTTATTTTTTTCTCAAGTAAAGATACGGGAATAGGCCGAAGAGTTGCCATATGGCCATGGGTCAAAATCCAAATCGTACCCCTAGTGAACATCCCAATCCAACCACTAAAATAGGAAGCCTAAAATGGGTGTAAATTCACCAATCCCACCCAAAATGGGATCCCCTTTAACGGTGTTGACACCCACGGCCATATCGGTTTTGGTCGGGGAATATCGGCCCCCTCGCTCCCCCACGCCTCGCTCATCAGTTGGCCCAAGCGCTTGAAGAAACCCACCACGCTCTCGAAGACGGGATCTGGCGAAGCTTCGCCATGGCCCGAGTTCGGCTGCAAGAACTGGTTGAGCAAACCCATATACTTCCACTGCAGAAAAGAAAATCGAGCAGTGATATGTTCGCTTTAAAAACATGTTAAGCACATCCATGGGTCAGAAGGCCCGATCGTACCCCCAGTGAACATCCGATTCAATCCAACCACTAAAATAGGTTCTAAACTGGGTGGTGAATTCACCTACCCCAAATTGGTACCATTGGTTTTGACCCACAGCCATATACTTCCACTGCATAAACCCTGAAAGGAAAATCGAGCAGTGATATGTTCGCTTTAAAGACATGTTAAGCAAAGGGAAGTATAGGCCGGAAGGTCGCCTTTCACTCATTTCCTGAGAGGATTGGTCGAGCATGTCCAAATGTTTTACTTCGATGATCGTCACGAAAATCCAGTCCACTAGTTGAGGAAGCGAGGTAAAGAGAACAGCAAATCCTCGAAAGGAAAGGACATCTTGAATCTGATTTGAGCATAGGTTTCAGGGGGAACCCCTTGGTAGGGATGGTTGCACAGTCTGCGTAAACATACCAGATCTTGAGCCCTTAAAAAACCCGAAAATGGAAAACCAAATCTTAGCCTCATGATTTAAACATGCCTCACAATGTGTAAACAATGAGCATTGGACCAACCCCGGTGTTCGACGTGTCAGCGTCCGTTTTGCTGCAACAATCAGTCTAGAGTCAAGAATCAAGAATTTGTTGCACTCAAGCATTGACTTTGCTCTTGGCACTGGAGCGTGACAGTGGTTGTTGAAAGACGGTGCCAATAGCCAACACCACCCAAATTTGGCTTCAAAAATACAACGACTCCAACAACAACGACAACGACATAAGTGCGGAAACAAAAAGACAGCACGCATGCAGAAGTCCAATGTCAATGCTCCCCGCTACAGCAATGTGGAAACGGGCAAAAGGAATGACTCATTGTTCCAGTCTGACAGTCAGAGAGCGGGCTACAGTACCACATTTCTTGGCGTAAAACTCGGCAGGCTCCACTTCTCTCGCTGAATTCGACCAGGGCAGGGCACAGCAACTTCCACACCTCTGCCGAACTCGGGCTGGCAGCATGCAAGTGCGAAGCTCGAGAAGGGGAAACTGCCCTCTCGGTGGCTTGAAGTTTTGAAGGGAAGACAAGAAGTCAGCAAACAAATTAGAGGCAGGGAAAGCAGCTATTTCCTGAAAAGTTGGAGAACCCAGACGTGAATCACAATGAAAATCCGATAACAAGTCTGCCAACAAGTAAATATGCAAAGAATCTTGGTTGAGACTGGCTGTGACCTTGGTTCAGCTGGGTGTTGGTTGCTGCTCACTCGGGTTTGTCTCAACATATTTCATCAACCCGTTTCCTTACATAAGGGGGGGTTCTCCCTTCAAACCCACCGGCGACGATTCGGTCTGAAGGACGACGCCATACTCAAGCCAACGGGGCCCAAACGCGCCAGAACTCCGCGGGAGATTTCATGATGCCCTCGACCAGTAAGTGCGCCTGTCGGAAGGTCGGCAAACCCCTGCAACCATCCCTTGTGCCTGGCTGGGGGGTGAGTGGATCTCACAAGTTGCTTGGGGGTTCACAACTGACGCGGACTCCTCCGAACACGACGACTCACAAAGGTCCGTTGGGGGTGAAAGAGCAGGACAGCAAGGACTTTGCAACTGAGCGGGCCACATTCACCAAGTCTCCATAAATGATATGGACATTTGGCAAGTACCCCCCCATGTTGTCAGTTTGGTGAGTGTGCCTGTTGTCTAAGTATGAAAACATGGGCTGTCCGCTTCTGACTTCCAGTGCAGGCCTGGGAAAAGCAAATAGCATCGGACTGTACAGCTCATGTGCAGTCTTGAAACTGAGAGCAACCGAAGTCAACAGCCGCCGAGTCGGTAGTTTTCGAAGGGATCCTCTGGCAAACCCGAATCCCGCGCAGCCTGACCCTATTCTTCCAGCCCCCCTTCCCCCAAAAACTAAATGATAAAAATAGACAAACAAACACTTTGCCCAACTCGAACATGTTTCTCTTGCTGGTGCTCAGTACGGAATGACCCAGGGTGTTGGGAATGAACCTAGGATTTCCCTTACAGGAAACCACCAGTTGGATGGTTGATAAGGGTCATTCCGGTTCTCCTTCCCCGCCTATCGCACGGATTGCAAGTATTTAAGTCCTTTCCCTCCTGACCGGCCGGGCGCCCACCCAAAGACCCACCCCTGAGCCGAGGGCCCCAGTGCCCCGTGCCTGGGCGGTGAGCGCCTGGAAGGCCCGAGCGCACATGGGCTGCGGCACGTGCGTGCGGCACAGCTCCTGAGCTCCGCCGCGCGGTTCCCGGCCGCGAGGTGCGGCGAGTGCGGCGAGTTGGGGGAACTTGTTGCGGGGCATTCCGTGGTTGGAGGGGGTTTACAGGGAAGCCAAGAGGAAAACCACAAATTTTGGGGGGTCCGGGGGTCCCTAAAAAAGGTAGAACCAAGTGGCGAAAGTGGCAGGATATGTGAGGTAATTCCGATCCGGGTCGTCAACCTGGTGGATTGGTGGGGGTGGGGGGTTTCCCACAAAGGGCGGAAGTTTTCAAGCGGGGGTGGTCAACCAAAAGATGACTGAAGATGTTTGGTGCTGCCATTTTTCAGCAATTAGCGTTCAAGGTAAGTCTAAGTGTAACCAACCACGTACACTTGCAAAGAACCCAAGCCCTTGAAGCAGTCCAAAAGTTTGTAGAGGACAGGCACGTGCCTCATAAAGTAGAGCTAGAACGGGCTGAACAAATTAGACGCAAAGCTGCTTAGGTTTGCAGGAAACGCATCTTGGTAAAAGGGTAAAATGAAAGGACACTCGACAGTGGAAAGTGCAAAGAACCTCAAAGGCTGAGTCTGACAATTGCCCATGGCTGCAATGGCTGGAAATACCCGGGAATTAACGCAAGGGGGTAAAGTAGCAACACACCTCATTTTCAAAAAATAATAGAACAAACACTTTATTTGGATTCAAAATAATCCTAGTATAGCTGCATTCAACATAACCCTGACAAAATACCCCTTGCAGTATAACCGTCACAAAATAACCCTTCTCTCAGAATCAGCCCCATTCTCATTCATGCCCTCACCAAAAAGTTACACACCAAATCGATTCTCTCAAGCTCATCACTTTGGTTTCAACATAACCCACAGCCCCGTTCTAATTTGAGACCGAGTATAGCTGCAATAGGCAACTGGCTTGGAAAAGAACTCGACCGGATCCCTGGGCGCACCATAAAGGAGACCACCACATCCTTGCGCGGGTCCAAGGACTTCATCACCTGCGGCGAATGCTTTTCGCCGAAGAAAAGCGGTGCTGCTTTTGACTCGAACCAATGTCATTCTGCCTGCAAAGCATTCGTTCTAATAACTAAACTACATCCCCTTATTAATAAGGCTAAGAAGGAGTTGAACCCGTATTTAGCCGATTTGCAATCCTTCTCATTACCTGAGTATGCTACCTAACCTTTCTTCCAAACATCCCGAAACCCAAAGTCATAAGTGGGAATCCCACTCGGGTATGACAAAAAGGGCGACTTCCCACCACGAAGATAGATTCCTCGTTGTCCCCGATCCTTCTTTCGATTCTGGCACAGTCTTCCGAAAAACAAGGATGCCTAGAAACAATGGACGTGCAACTAAAAAGGGGCGGGGCTGTAGAAGAACTTCTCAAAGGTCACCAACCCCCTTTTCGGCCTACACTTTACAGTGAAACCTGGGCGGGAATGCATTTTAGCATGTGTCCGAAAACTGGGCGGACTGAGGGAGTTCCAGCCTTTTTGAGACAATCAACGGCACGGAAGTCAACATTTCTTGGATAAGGACCCTGTGGTGGACATTGTGCGTGTCTGACATGTGTGCGTGATAATCATTCTGGAGGGCCCTTGTCATGAACGCATTTAGATCTTCCCTTCACATGGGTATCATTTTGAATTGGAGATTATTTTTGGACAACACTTGCGTGGGGATTCCTGTCTATCACATGTTCATGTCCATGCGAGCCACGGTCGGAAAATATAGGTACAGTTCATCCTTGGCTGTGGGAAATTTGGAGAGCCCCCCTTTCTCGTCCCTCCCAAGTGAACCATATACTACTGCTGGATGCTTCAAGCCGAACCATGTCGCTTAGTTGTCTGCCCTTCTTCCCACTAACAAAACACAAGCCGGAGGGTACTACATACCAACTTACTTTTCAAGGGCCATTTCCTAAGCGAAAGCAAAGCTTGTTCGACTGCGCCACGTGGCCCTCCATTCCGATGCTGTTTTTCCGACTCGTGGCATCACCCGACTCATGCCGCCAACCGCCTGACCAGCCGACCCCGACCACCCAGCCACCGAGCCGACCTGGTCGTTTTCCTGCAGCACGCCCGCCACAATGGGCCGCATCACGTCCACCTAGCTGAAATCATCCGTCTGGGTGGGCAAAGGAACGGGGCATGTGGGTACCATCAAGCAAACACCCACCGGCAATCATGGCAAAGGTTGGTTGACCTTTGCATTCCAACCCAAGAATCATTCAGAGCACTTTCACCAGAGCCCAATAAGGAGGTGTGATGCCCTTTGATGAGTTTCGTTATCCGTCTTTTTGGATAGACAGTCAAAATAGTGGCATCCCTGGTTTCGCCAATCTAAATTAGGGTTCCCTATAAATAAACACATACCCACCCACCCACTTACCCACCCGCCCGCCCGCCCGCCCGCCCGCCCGCCCGCCCGCCCGCCCGCCCGCTCCCCGCCCGCCCGCCCGCCCGCCCGCCCCCCCGCCCACCCACCCCCACCCCACCCCCACACCACCCACCCACCCACCCACCCACCCACCCACCCACCCACGCATATTTGTTCCCCTCCAAAAGTGGTCTGATTCCCCACATTTCACCCAGAAAATTTTACACCCCCCTATTGATAAACTGAGGTTTTATTTTTGTTTGCATCAAGCTATCTGGTCGACATTACCAAAAGTGGTCTGATTCCCCACCAAACCGCGAATCGGACACACCCCTATTCATAAACTCCCACCCACCCACCCACCCACCCACCCACCCACCCACCCACCCACCCACCCACCCACCCACCCACCCACCCACCCACCCACCCACCCACCCACCCACCCACCCACCCACCCACCCACCCACCCACCCACCCACCCACCCACCCACCCACCCACCCACCCACCCATTATTAAACAGGTTGCTTCATTAAATCTGGGGTCGTCGGTCGACACAAAACGACTTTCGCTTCGTCCGAGAAGCCACGGGCTTGCCGGTGCCCATAAAGCCGATGGAGGGCGTGGTGGGCCCCACGTCGGTGGCGTTCCCCGTGGACCTCCGAACCGAAAAACGCTCGGCCGAGCGCCCGAGAAGATTCCGAGAGGTGCGGGGACCCTCAAGCTACCCATCAAAAGGGGCACTGCACCCCATATGTTTGGGGCAAGAACCCATTTTGAAGGGAATATTTCATTTGTCCTTTTTGGCGTTAGCTTGGTTCGAAATAGATGCGTTCCATTGGTTTAGAGTGGTCTTATGCCCCATTTAGGGGCCATCGATCTTCCCAAAAGGAGACCTATGGTTCCGAAATGCTTCAATACCAAAGAAAAACCTTTGGCCCAGCACAACTCAACAGTTTCGAGTGCGGAGAGATGAAGTGCCAAAGAGAGCCCATGTCCAACGCATCCAAACTCACTTGGGTCTCTGAATTCGGTACCCAAAGGGCCGTTTTGGTCTAAGAAAAATTGATTTAACTGACATGACCCCCAGGGTTGCTTTGGTCGGGGATGAAAACGATGAAACCTGAATGACGGGTGCAAGTGGGACTTTCTTTTTGGTTTCCACCCGGAAGTTTCTGAGCCACGAACACACACACACACAGTGCCGGTCAGTTCCGGGGCACGGTTGCTTGCAGAACATAACGTTGGAATGAGGTCCACTGTCATGTCTCCACATTTGGAAGTATGTGTCAAAAAAGGGGGACCCCCGAAAAGATTGGCTTCCTTTTTAGCTTTCCTAAAACGCCAACCTGCCAAAGGGCATCAAGCCTCAAGTCTCTAGCGCCAAGGTCCCGGCTTGCGCTGGCTCATCGAGGTGGTGTTTCGGCTCTTTTGCATGGCCTGCACCTGCCATCTTGCTTTGCTTCATGAGGCACCGTCAAAATGACGTCCCCCACGTCCTTCCCGACTCCCAAATGGACGGTAGACCGCAGGATATTCTGACAAAACCTATCATGGGAGAAGCGCTAAACGGAGACGCTGGATTTCCACTCTGAAGGTTGCAATTGACTGGTAAGCTCCATTTGGGTTGAGCGGATCGAGGTTGTTCAAAAGAGGCACCGCCTTTTTTAGGACTGTTTTGTGACCCTTCCTGTTAAACTGAAATTCAAGGGAGCCAAGTTTGTCTCCTATCGTTTTTGAACGAACGGAGCATGGACGCTGGCGCGAAACCAGTTCGCGGCCATGAGACCGACGTACATTTTTTCCTGGCCTGCTTTTGATTTTGATGCCCTCTCTTTGGATCTCCAAAAGTGGCGGTTTCGTTGGAAAAGGCTTTCTTTTGCTTCCCATTCAAGTCAACCCTTTGAAACCAAAAGTATGGTTTGCCAATGTTCATCATCCTTCCCCCATCTTTGGCAGCCATGGTTCCTTTCAAAAGCTCCTTTTCCCTGAGGTCGTTTGCAACATGTTCGCATCTGCAGCTTGAACCAGCTTTGCCGCAAAACCTGCGACCAGGTATTTCTATCCTGTGGACTTGT